ACTCCTCCACCAGCACCACTTGCAATCCCATTTGCAGTGAGGGAACGATCCTAGAGTTGCAAATCACAATGGAATTCCATCGGCAACTCATCCACCAGCACCACTTGCAACCCCATTTACAATGCGGGAACGATCCTACAGTTGCAAATCACAATGGAATTCTGTCGACCACACATGCACGAAAAACAGTTGACACCCCATTTACAATGCGGAACCGATCCGAGAATATCCGCCCATGATCCGAACATGATCCGACCACACACGAGACCGTCTCGCACCCGTCACACAGCAGAGGTAGATCATCGACGTTCGGGGACGGACTTTGTATGGAAAAACATAGGCTTTCGTGCATTTGCTATCTCTCAAAAACGCATTTCGTGCGAGACTTCCTCCAAAACTCCATCGGCAACTCCTCCACCAGCACCACTTGCAATCCCATTTACAGTGAGGGAACGATCCTAGAGTTGCAAATCACAATGGAATTCCATCGGCAACTCATCCACCAGCACCACTTGCAACCCCATTTACAATGCGGGAACGATCCTACAGTTGCAAATCACAATGGAATTCTGTCGACCACACATGCACGAAAAACCGTTGACACCCAATTTACAATGCGGAACCGATCCGACCATATCCGCCCATGATCCGACCACACACGAGACAGTCTCGCACCCGTCGCACAGCAGAGGTAGATCATCGACGTTCGGGGACGCACTTTGTATGGAAAAACATAGGCTTTCGTGCATCTGCTATCTCTCAAAAACGCATTTCGTGCGAGACTTCCTTCAAAACTCCATCGGCAACTCCTCCACCAGCACCACTTGCAATCCCATTTACAGTGAGGGAACAATTTCTTTGCTAACTCTTTCTGTGACTAACTCTTTTCCTCACTAACTCTTTCTTTGACTAACTCTTTCCCTCACTAACTCTTTCTTTGACTAACTCTTTCCCTGACTAACTGTTTCTTTGCTAACTCTTTCTTTGCTAACTGTTTCTTTGACTAACTCTTTCTTTGACTAACTCTTTCCCTGACTAACTGTTTCTTTGCTAACTCTTTCCCTGACTAACTGTTTCTTTGCTAACTCTTTCCCTGACTAACTGTTTCTTTGACTAACTCTTTCTTTGACTAACTCTTTCCCTGACTAACTCTTTCTTTGACTAACTCTTTCTTTGACTAACTCTTTCCCTGACTAACTGTTTCTTCACTAACTCTTTCCCTCACTAACTCTTTCTTTGACTAACTCTTTCCCTGACTAACTCTTTCTTTGGCTAACTCTTTCTTTGACTAACTCTTTCCCTCACTAACTCTTTCTTTGACTAACTCTTTCCCTCACTAACTCTTGGTTTGACTGACTAACTCTTTCCCTGACTAACTGTTTCTTTGACTAACTCTTTCTTTGACTAACTCTTTCTTTGACTAACTCTTTCCCTCACTAACTCTTTCTTTGACTAACTTTCTTTGCTAACTCTTTCTTTGACTAACTCTTTCCCTGACATTCTAAAAGTCCGTAACGCGGAAGTTTCTCCCCCTAAACTTCCTTTGATAATTTGTATACCCACCAATCAGCCATGATAGCCATGATAGCCATGATATTCGGATATATGCGGTATGATTGCGGTAGTAAATGCTGACTCCGAAATCTCCACAAATCATCAAATATGAGCAAACATATCATTAATATTATATAATATTCATTAATAACATATATGTTTATATTTATATAAATGTCTTAGTGTTATGTGTCTGGATCATTTGTAGTCACAACAAATCCCAGAGCTTGTGCTGTCTTACAGGATCTTCCAGGATCCACTAGGAAGAGGAAAATAACCTCGAAGATGATCCGTCCGTCCACAAGGGTGGATATAACATGGGATTGCATGGAAACCGTTCTGATGAACGAACTGGCATTTGCCACTCTTGATGGAGTGCCTAGTCAATTTCATGCACAATGATGAATATATGAATATGTTACGAATATGAGGAATCACGTCATCATAAAATCGAGCGTGTGTAGAAGTGGAGGGTTTTCAGGTTTTCATACAATCTCAAATTGAATGCATGGAGATGTGAGAGTAGCACAGGGCCCTCTTCTCGGCCTCATTTTCAGAGGTGACTTGGCGGGCAAAATGCTTCATTGAGTGGCCAATCCCCTGCGACTTTCTGTGACTGACCATGCAATGGCCATGTTGACTTTGATACTTTTCAGAAATCCTGCAGAAATGATCAGATGAATTCAGATGAAGAATTTCATGCAGTTTTTTGAAATGTGAGCAAGCCAAAGGGGGGCCAACCCGAGGGCAACTTCGTGATCATTCGTGATCTGTATTTCGCGAGCACTGGACAGCCCAGGTTTACGCCAGGGCAACCAGTCATAGTTAGCATAGCCTCACGAGCACAGCCGGTTCGCAGGGTGATGACTCGTGACAACCGACTTGAAGCCACTGAAGATACTCAGTGAAGACAGGCTCAGTACAGAAGCGATTGCTAAGAGGGAACTGTTTTTGGCTACTTGCGCTTCGACTGTCGGTATCTGGCCCCTGCCCCTCCATGAGGTGCCAAATTGGATCATGTCAAACGCACAAGGAGGCGAAGAGATTTAATCGACCTAGCACACCAATTGCAGGCAACAAACTTTCACATTTGAAGGATTAGATAATGAATTTGGCATCATTAATTAAATCATTATGTTACGTGATATGCGGTATACATACATTTTGCATCATATTGCGATGTATAAAAGTACTATATTATATGTATATGTATATATATATTCCATTATATTCCCAGGATCCCCATCCCCCAATTTGCAGCATTTGAGAGCCACAACCTCGTCACTGGACCCCGTCTAGCTGTATATATACGTATTTCTAACACATCAGTCTATGTAAATCTAGCAGAATCTAGCACATACTACCCCAAACCTGTTTATGTGCTGCCTATACCATACCTGACACATGATTTACCACTCACTGCATGCAGGTTATTTACTCAAAGCGTACCTGTGCATACCTAATATACCTATGTCATCCTATATCCTATATGCTTGCATGCAGTATGTGCCTACAAATACGTGTGTATATATAGTATTTATATACATATACGTTATATATATATAGTATTTATATACATAAACATATTATATATATACACATATATACATACAAATATATGTATATGTATATACATATGTATATACATATACATATGTATATATACATATACATTATATATATATACATAGCTACATATATACATATATATACACATGTATATATATATTCATACATATATATATACATATACATATATATACATATGTGTATATATATATTTATATACATATGTACATACATACAAATATATATATATATGTACATACATACAAATATATATGTATATATATATATATATAAATACATATATATATATTTACATATGTACATACATACAAATATATATATATATGTACATACATACAAATATATATATATGTATATATACATACATATATATATATACAATATATTATTTACTATATACGCTATACTATATACTAAATACTATATACTGTATACTATATACTATACACTATACTATATACTTAACTATACTTTAATATACTCTACTTTACTATACTGTACTATACCTTACCATACATACATTACATTACATTGCATTGAATTACATTACATTACATTACATTACATGTACATGTACATACCCATATCCATATCCATATCCATATCCATATATATACATTTACATATCCATATGTGACATGTGTGTATATATGCATACATATAAATGCATATATATATATAGTACAATTATACACATTTGCAAACATATATTAAGTACATTTACATATATATATATACACATATATATATATACTACCTAAATATAAATGTCCAACTAACATTATACACCTCTGTGTAGTATATACACTGCTTCATCTCTGCCCATTTATTTTTACATCCTACATATATTACCTACACATGTGTCATTGCGCGTGCCTATATACGACTCATTGCATAGGGTGCCCATGTTGGACTGTTGTTGCTGGGACCCCCCCGAGGCCACAAGGGGGGGATCCCTGCTCATATTAATACACTTTACTGTACATCATATATGATGTGTGATATGGTGTGATATACAGTAAAATGATTTAATATACATTCTATGTATGTGTAAAACAAATGATATCATATACACAACTGTAGTTGCACTGGCATGCATAAATAATATATATATATACATATGTACACATACATATCTACAACATATACATATGTATGTATATATGTACCTACATAAATATTATACTTTTGCATACATGTATATATATATACACACGTATGTTTACAATAACCTATACATTAGTATAATAATAGTCACATTATTTATATTGGCGTTAGGGCATCGGTCTCAATCAAGTTTAATCCAATCTCCGCAATCATGGCATGGGCTCCGGGGATGCTTGTGAACTCGTTCACGAGCATATGAAATTTGAGGCCCTTGGTCGCCAAAGGCCTCAGGAGCGCATTAATGCGCCAGTCGTTTCGACTGAGCTCTAGGGATGGACCAAAATCAATGTTAGCACTGGCGCAGGTGTCGATCTTGAAGTCTGGAAAGCGGTATTTGTTTATTTGAAACGTTGGTGATTCCCATAGGCCATACTCGGGATGCCAGGTGTCTACGGCCCAGTACCGTATGGATTTGGCCATGTTCCCTAGTCATGAACTGCAGGCTCAGTGAAGGAACAGTACATGATGAAACTTTGCCGCGCAGCTTTCAGTAAATGCAGTCATGGATGTCAGATCATGCAAGAAACTTGAAAAAATAAGAGAATCCGCGCTTGATGCCAAACTTGAAGATACGATAAAAGCATGGAGCAGTTGGCAAACAGAGCATAGGGAAATAGCCCAGGCTCAGAACGGTTTCTGCAGGTGACTCATCACTGACAAGAAATTTGATGGTTTCGCATGCAGAAAATCTGAGCTTCGGTAAATGACGGGATCCTAGTTCTGCAAAGCAGAACCAAGATCGAGCCTCTGCATGTTTGCCTGCCATGTTTGAGATATGGCAGATGTGGTGTCTGAACTTGACAGCAATGCCGAGCGCCAGGCCGAAGGTAATAAATGCCACTGTTGAGGAGCTGGAAGCTGCTCGGTCTGAGTTGAAGGCGAGGAAGAGAGTTTCAGAGACTGAGAAAAGATGGCTGTCATTACTGTCATTGTCATATTGTGATATATATATATATATGATATATATATATGATATATATATATATATGATATTGCAATAAGTGATGTCGAAGTGTAGTTTACAAACGTAGCAACGTAGCTATGTCGATCCTGGCTCCTCAGCCATTGGCTTAAGGGCAACTGTGTTACCCCCCGGCCAGTCCAATGTGGCTGGCCGGGGGTGTCGACAGGGCAAAATGGTATGCCCACAGGTTTGTCACCGGGCAGCTGGTAGAGGGGGCTGTCCGTGATGATGGGGGCAAGTCCCAGGGCACCATGTTGGTGGAGGTGCTGGGCGCCATCTCTACCAGCGCCACGGGACATTGGTTCGAAGGGAGCTATGTGGTGGCCTCCGACTCCCACTTACGATGGTGGATGGAACACGGAGAGGGCCAACCTCTTGCGGCCAAGTGCCGCTACCACTGCTGCGAGGTGCCATCAGTGGACTGCCCGGAGCTGAAGCGCGGCAAGAGCTTTCACTTCGAGAAGTTCCGCGTGATCAACCAGAAAGAGCTGGATGCCAAGGTGCCTTCATGGGCATTTGGCAGGTCTTGTGCGAAGATCATGAAGGCCTATCTGGCCAACCGCACCGAGGAGTTGCCGGTTCCTGCGCCGGCTCCTCGTGATGAGCTGCCCTGGCGTGAAGCGGGCGATGAGGCATCCTCCCCCGGTTCTGATGGCAGCGGCTCCGAGCATGGTGATCTGAAGGCAAAGCTGCAGGCGGCTCGAGACAAGGTTAGAGCCCTCGAGAAAAGGTATGCACGAGGGGACAAGAAGACCAAGAAGGTCAAGGCTGGCAAGGACAAGCACAAGAAGAAAAAGCGAGAGCGCGGGCGAGGTGAGAGGAGTCGCTCACCCCGGCAGGGGCGCAAGAAGAAGGTTGACCAATCACCCCGCCGAGCAAGGCGGGTGGAGGATGCAGAGGCAGTAGAGAGGCACAAGAAGCGCGATGCAAAGAAGGACAAGAAAAGACGATCAAGTCCCACCTCCTCAGCGAGGAGTGAGTCAGAGAAGCAGGCAGGGCTCTTCGGAGGTGATGGGAGTGATGGCTCCGACCCTGGAGGCCCTGCACGAGGTCGACCTGATCGGGGACCATTCGGTGGCGGTGATGTGGTTCGCTATGAGGAGGACTCCGACAGTGACTCGGAGTCTTTTCGGGACGCCCCCACAGGCCAAAAGGCAGGGAGTCAAGTTCACTTGATTCAGTACGCAAAGAAGAAGCCGGGCAGACTCGCCTCGCGTCTCTTGCTGAAGATGCGGCGCGAAGGAGCCCAAGGGTCTGTGGGGGCGAGCCGGAAAAGAGACGGGCTCACACCGCCTTCAGCCGTGCACTACCTGGTAACGGTGATGGGTCCCCGGTTGGGGACAAAGTTGAACATGAGGAGCCAGCGCGAGTTGCGCACCCTGTGCACGGCGCTGGACTTGATGGCCCAGCATCGTCACGCCCAAGCGGCAGATTTGTTGGGGCAACGAGTCAAAGCCCTGGAGAAGGCCACGACAGACGGCCACTGGGCCTCGGCTCAGCACCTGGAGTTGCTCAGCCCGGAGCTGGGCAGCCTGCTGGAGAGGGACGAGGAAATCTACACGTCCCGGGAACATCTACTGGACCTGAAGCTGCAGAGCCTCGAGGGCTGGAAGAAGAGCCCAAAAGTGGACCAGAAAGGAGACCGAGAAAAAGGAGGAAGAAAAGGCAAAGAGAAGGGTCGGGGCAAGGGCAAGGACAAGGAGAAGGCGAAAGAGGGGACCGCGTGAGCACACCAGGCGATCCCATGAGCCTGTGGATGGCGCGGTGGCGGCGGTGCCGCTCCCACGAGCAGAGCCCATCGAAAGTCCTGGCGGAGTTGTGGCGGCATTTGAGGTCCCTCCCGAGCAAGCTGGGTCACTTCTCACTTGCGTCTGCTGGTGATGGGGTGCCTCCCGGGGCTGAGTCCTCAGTCCGCGTGAGGAGTGACGACCTGTTGCCGATTGACCTGAGGGAAGTCGCCACTTACCTGCTGGACGAGGGAAGCACCGTAGCCAACAGTGTTGCCTGTGTCCTCAATACCTTGAACTATCTGGCCCTTTGCTCAGGCCACGCACCGGTTCCTACCGTGATGCCAGAGAGGCCCTTGACCAACCCGCAGAAGCAAGTGATTGACCATGTGCGGCAAGCCTTGAGTCACCTGGAGAACTCCGGAGAGCAGGTGGCACCATTCGCGCGCATGGCTGACGAGTTGAGAGAGGCAAAGTTCGACTACGCTGGCGAGCCCATCCTCATGATGGAGGACCTGGATGCCGAGCAGGTGATTGCGGCCTGGTCCGCAGTGGGACAAGCGGCTGTTCAAGAGGCCACAGCCTTCTTACCGGATCACATCCGTGACAAGTTGAATGATCCGAGGTCGTGTCTGCTACCGTTGCATGAATGGCCTTCACGTACCCCTGTCTCCAAGGTGAGGGCCTCGGATGAAGAGTGGCACAAGGTGGTGGTAGCGGCCCATGAGCGAGGATTGATGGTACCCCTTGACCCGGAAGACGTTTTCAAGGACGCTTCTGGTGTGCCTGTCCTAAATGGTGCAGGCGCGGTGCCCAAGTTCAAAACCATTGGGGGACAGAAGAGGAAGTGCCAGCGGTTCATCAGCAACTTGATCCCGTCGAACGCGTTTCAAGCCCGCATTGACGGTGACGACAAGTACCTCCCTTACCTTGGTCAGCTGACCTTGCTTGAGCAGGAGAGCGACCAAGTGTGGCTGACCGACAGTGAGGACTTCACTTCTTCCTTCAACCTCTTCAAGATCCCGGCAGCCTGGCATAATCTGATGGGCTTTGGCAAGCTTGTAGATGCGTCAGCCTTTGGAGGGCCGGCAGGCCGGAAGGTATACCCAGCAATCCCCATGGGATGGCTGAGCTCTGTGGCAGTGGTGCAGGCGATCGTCCGGTCCCTTGTGTTTGACCACGCTGCGGTCCTTCGCTTGACCGAGGTGACAAAAATGCGAGCTCTTCCAGACTCAGGCGACCTCACCGTGATCTACCTGGACTCCTTTGATGAGCTCCGGCGCCTCGAGAAAGGGTGCAAAGAGGCCCTCGACGAGAGCATGTCTGACCGGCACGCCAGGTTTCTTCAAGTCTGCCGTGAAAAGGGGTTGCCCCTGAATGAAAGCAAGAGGTTGGTGGCCTCCACTCGAGGGACCCTTCAAGGGGGCCTGTTGGATGGGGACCTCGGCAGATATGGGCTATCCCCGGACAAGATGGCCAACCTGATGGGTCTAGCCAGCTCACTCGCGGGCCATGAACAGTGGTCCGAGTTCATGCTCCGCCACCTGGTCGGCAAGGCAACCTTTGGGATGTGCTTCAGACGACCGATTTTCTCGGTCCTGCAAGGGGTCTTCAGTGAGATTCAGTGCCGGGCCGCTTTCAACGACATGGCTGCCCCTGCGGCGACCGTGGTGGATGAGGTCTTGATGGTCCTGTGCCTGGTTCCGGTGATGTTCACCAGCCTGAAGGCTGCCCTGGACGATGAGGTAGCCGTGACTGATGCGTCACCCTCCGGAGGAGGTGCTGCGGTTGCAACTCGGTTCAAGCCACCGCCCTTGACTGTGGACAGTGACCCACGAGTCTGCCACGAGTGTGGCAGTGACTGCTCGAACCGCGCCAGGTATCCTTGCCCCGCGGAGTGCGGTGCCATGTTCTGCTCTCTGGCGTGTGTGATGGGTCACCGCGATGTGGACCGCCCAGCGGCTGGGGAGTGCCCGCGCCGGGCATGGCGTCCGCCCCGCTTTGGGGAGCGATTCTCCGGCCCTAGAGCGCCCTTGAGCCACGCAGTGGCCCTTGAAGGAAGGATTGAAGTGCAACCCCCGTTTGACCTGCACTTCGGGCTGGACATGTTCACCGACCATGGCCGCTCGGAGTTGCAGCGGCTAATGGATGACGAGGACCTGGTCGCAGAGCATTGGGCACCTGAGTGCAAGCTGTTTTCGAGGGCCAGAGGCCGCCCCATCACCCTTGAGGATGGCCGAACCATCCAGGGCCCCCAGCCAGTACGGGATGGCCGTCACCTTATGGGGTTCCCTTGGCTCCCGCATGAAACCCGAGCAAGGGTGAGGCAGTCCAACAACATGGTCCTCAAGGCCCTGAAGCGTGGGAAAGATGTCAATCGGCCCAACCGCTACTGGACGGTGGAGCACCCGTACCGGTCGTGGATGTGGGACTTCACCCTGGTCAAGGAGTTGGAGCAGGAGCCCGACTTCAGCCACGCGGTAGGGTCGTTGTGCTGCTTTGGTGGTCAGAGAGAGAAGTGGTTTTCTTTCTTCGGGGACCTTCCCACGCTGCCGCAGCACTTGGCAATCGATTGCCCGGGCCACCAAGGCCTGCTCTCTTGCCAAGTCACCCAGCGGGCCGATGGCACCCTGGTGTATCCCACAGAAGAGGAGGCAGAGTATCCTTGGAGGCTTTGCACTGAGTACGCTGCCGCCCTTACGGAGCAGCTCAACCTTGACGGCCGCTTCGACGCCATGGTTTCCGCCGAGAGGGAGCGCTACTACCTGGATGAGTTGGCCCAGTCCACGGGTCGCCTGGCCGCTACACCGGTCAAAGAGGCTGTCGCTGCAACCTTGGTCAAGGAGGAGGCCCACTTGTGTCAGACAGAAGAGCGAGCCCACCTCCGGGCCTTGCTACGCGCAGCTACTTACCGGGGAACCGATGTGAGGTTCTTCGTGGAGCTGGACACTGAGGACCAACCTGAATTGCATGAGGTGCCTTACTTGGCACTGAGATGGGATTGGAAGACCATTTTGGCCTTCCCGTGGAAAGAAGACGGGCATATAAACGAATTGGAGCTCAATGCAGTGGCGGTTTACCTCAAACGCAGGTCGCGGTCACAGTCGCGTCATGGGAAACGGTATTTTCACGTGCTAGACAGCATGGTCACCCGGGGATGTCTTGCGAAGGGACGCAGCAGTTCCCGGAGGCTCAATCAGGTGTTGAGGAAGTGCACGGCCCACCTCCTTGCGTCAGATGACTATATGTTCCCCCTGTGGACAATCAGCAGGTGGAACTTCGCCGACAAGCCCAGCCGCCTCTATGAGACGCAGAACTAGTTTGATGTACGCTGGGCTGCACCCTCGAACACTTAGAGCCTACCGTCTAGCACTTGACCGTTTCCTAAAGTTTGCCAACAAGCACCGTCTTCCGCTGCGCAATGCCAGGTCATTGGACAAACAACTGGCCGAATTCATTGATTTACTGTATCAAGAAGGAGAGCCAATCTCCTATGCCGGGCACCTCCTGTCCGCTATCAAACGGTTTCACCCGCAATTGCGGCTATCTTTACCCAGGTCCAGCCAATACTTTCGCAATTGGCAGCGCTGTTACGTTCCTTCAAGGGCATTGCCAGCGTCCTGGGACCTGGTGGAAGGCCTGATGGGCCTGGCGTTTCACAATGGCCAACGGAGTTTTGGACTCTTATTGGCGCTGGGGTTCAACTGCCTACTTCGGACCAGCGAGATGCTGTCCCTCACCCACAAACATGTGGTGTTTCACCCACGCCGTAATGGCCTGAGCGTGGTGATCCCTGGCAGTAAGACCTCACAGGGCAATCCACAAGTCCTCCTGGTCACTGACCGCCAACTGGTGCAACTTGCCAAGGACATCATCTGCCCCACCTCGGACGCCCTACTATGGACTACGGGAGCTCATCAGTTTCGTGCCACCTTCGATGACTTTTTGGTCCAGTTGCGGTTCCCATCTGGCACTTATACCCCCTACTGTTTGCGCAGGGGTGGGGCTACGTGGTACTTTCAGTCGTCACTGTCGACGCAACAGTGACGCGCGGCCGCTGGTCTTGCAACAAGACGGCCCGTCAGTACATCGATGAGGGCACGGCTCAGTTGGCCCATGCCTCGTGGTCGGCTCCTCAACGGCATTCGGTGCGCACATGGAGTCGTTTCCTGTTGCGAGTGCGGCTGCGCCAGGACAATAGAATCGGAAGGAGTTGAGGCTTCCTTTTCTTTGCAAAAATGGACAATAGAGGCTCTTGAGCCCACAGCCCAGGCCTCGTGAGGCCACAGTGGCGACCCAAGCACCAGCCAACTGTGCTGTGGGGAGTCATGACTCCTTCTTGGGCTAGCGACGTAGGTAGGAGCGTTGCTGGCTAGGCTGTACAGTTGTAGAGCCTCAATGAGCAACTGTGAGGCACCCCTGACAAAAAGGAAGGGCGTGCCAGGGAATGAGCCTTTAGGGAGACATTGCAATAAGTGATGTCGAAGTGTAGTTTACAAACGTAGCAACGTAGCTATGTCGATCCTGGCTCCTCAGCCATTGGCTTCCCACCATCCTACCCCTTCACCACCACGTTGGGTGTGCAGATCCTGGGAGGATGCAAAGCTGTGGGACAATAGAGGCTCTTGAGCCCACAGCCCAGGCCTCGTGAGGCCACAGTGGCGACCCAAGCACCAGCCAACTGTGCTGTGGGGAGTCATGACTCCTTCTTGGGCTAGCGACGTAGGTAGGAGCGTTGCTGGCTAGGCTGTACAGTTGTAGAGCCTCAATGAGCAACTGTGAGGCACCCCTGACAAAAAGGAAGGGCGTGCCAGGGAATGAGCCTTTAGGGAGACATATATATATGATATATATATATGTGATATATATATGTGATATATATATATATGATATATATATATATATGATATATATATATGATATATATATATATATATATGATATATATATATGATATATATATATATGATATATATATGATATATATATAAATATGATATATATATATGATATATATATATGATATATATATATATATGATATCATATATATATGATATATATATATATATGATATATGATATCATATATATATATAATATACGATATCATATATATCTATATATGATATGATATCATATATATAATATACGATATATCTTTCATATATGTATATATTATATATATAATTATCAGTGATATCATTCTTGTCAATATGTCGGTGTGCAGTGGGCAGGGGCTGATCGCAAAGCTCAACAAAGGAAAGGCCGACAAGGAGAGGCTGCGAAATGCTGGGAACTTTTTCAGAATGGGAAGTTCGAATCTTTTTGTCAGGAAGAAGTGCAGCCTCCAGCCACACGAGTCCAGAACAATGCTACTGATTTGCAGACAGAACGCAGCAAGACTAGCCCGTTAAAGCATTGCTTCATATTGTTCCCACCTTGACATAGTAAACTGTCAGACTCTGTCAGGTTGATGATTTGACTGAAATTGTGAATAAGAATGCCAAAGTTGCTGAGGAGGCGACAAGAGATGGCCAGAGTGCTTTTTACTGGACACACTGTATTTTATTTGCAATCTATAGAATAGATAGACAGATTTATTTTTTTTTATTTCACTCTTGTCGTGATACCTTGCTCATTTCAACAAGCTGATGGAGGCAGTTGACAAGTTTCGTCAAGAAACAAAGGCCACCTCTCCTACGCTCTCCGAGTCCGTTGTTGGAGTCGTGACATTTCTGAATCAAACCTCGCCGTCAGACTATACCAGATCCACCAGATCCATCTTCACTGATTTTCATTACATTTGGATTGGGCAGGAGTATTGCGACGGGAGTCTGAGTAAGCTGAAGACTGAGGCTTCGGTGGAAGTACTCTGAAGTATAGCGTGAGTATATAGATTGTTCATTGTTCTTGTTTTTGCGTCGTTTTCCCTGACTTTTTGCGCACAACTCAACCTGCAGACTGAATGTTTGCTACTGTATTTTTTTTCTTGCAGTGTACAAGAGCAAAAGACTCATTCAAGATGTTCCTTTTTCCTAATACAATACATACATACCTACCTACCTACCTACAGACAGACAGACAGACATACATACATATATATATATATATATATTTAGATATGGAAGGTGAGGTCAGCCGTCACAACACGCTCCAATGACACGGCAAAAAGTGGGCACTTCAAAGGTTCGAAGGTGACTAAGCAAAGTAGACACCACTCACCACACCAAAGCATTTCATCAAGCCTTCAGTTATGCAGGTCTTGTCTACTCTCGCCGAAGAGGAAGAAGCACGAACTTCTGGTCAGACTCAGCTGGAGGCACCGAAAAGCAAGCAATCCACATACTAATAGTATCTAATAGTAACATTCATTTCCAATGATTTCCTTCGTGGTGACCTCCTTTATTCGCAATTTGAGGCCCAGATTCAGCAGCTTGACGTGGACGTCCGCAATGCCTTTGCGGATGAGCTCACGTCCTCAACTTAGAGTGGGAGCACTGACCCGGAAAGGCATTTCGAAGCCGCAAGCGGGAGTGTTTTTCAAATGCCTCTCGCAATTGGCAAGATGTTATGCCAGTATTAGGTCTCTTTGCGTCAAGATTGAGGAAGAGTTTGCCACACTTCGGCAGGATTTGGGAGGGATCAGCTGGGCTTACCTGACAAACCTGATCAAGTGACGAAGATTGCTGTTCATCTATCTACAGGCCGAGGCACCATTCACACAGAACTTGTTCAGCTTCAATATTGTTCAGAAATGAGTTCAACTCAGCCCTATTATAAGCCTTTGCTGTGCTTTGGAAGCATGCCTCAGCAGCCTGTTACCCATTTGTTACCCATTGCAAAGGACTTGACCGACCTTATTGAGAGAAAGGCAGCAGAAGCTGCAGAACACACCACCAAGGTTCAGAATGAGAAGCCCTGGCTTGTATTGGAACGTTCTTCTGCTGGACTCAGCAATGTGACCAATGTGTGATTGTGCGTCTCCGTTTCCCCTTTCATGCCGCAACCTTGCAGGCTATCTGCGGAGCTGGCAGATTTGCGCAAGCAGGCTCTTCCGCCCGACTTGGCTCAAAGAATCTTTCTCAGTGATTTCACATGATTTCACCAAGGCTCAACTTTCAGTGCTCCCTTGGACGTCTCAAGATATTTCAAATCATTTCAAGTCATATATTGCTTGTGCCAGGCTGCAGACCGCGATGCGGAGTCGCGGATGCTCTTTGGAGAGAAGCTCAAAGCGCAACAAGACGCCATGGACGAGGCACAGAACCATCGGTGGCGTGCCATGGGGACAAAACACAACATTTCGCAGCAGAAAAGTGCACAGAATAACAGAGAATCTAATCTTCGCTGTTCAAACAGATCTAACAGCACTTGTGTTTGATCCTCATCCAAAGATATCCGAAGAACTTCCGAAGATATCCAAAGTATTTGCCACTTCAGCTCTGGTGTAACACCAATCCAGGCACACAGGCGGATGAATGCCACCGCTGACGAGGTCCAAGTGTGATGCTTGATTGTCATTGTTGGTGTCGTGGTTGGTGTCATGGTTTGCCCATAACATGAGTTCTGCAGAAGGACCGAAGTAATGTGAAGGCCGCGGTTGTGCGTCAGATGCCAAGTTACCGATTGTGGTGCAAGGAGGCTTGTACGCGTAGATTAAGATCAAAGATGTATTTGCTTAAAAAAATATATAGATAGAAGTATAGGCATGCTGCGCGCATGTTTTACTGAAACAAGCACACACGATCACACACGTATCACGGAATGTTGTATAGTGCCCGTTTGAGCATGAAGAAGAATAAGACGCATCGACATTGCAACTGCATCCCAACTGCAGTGATACTTGCATGTGGAGAGTCAATGGCAAAGACATGACTCCACTACTGAATGCAAGGTCTGTTCAGAGCTGTCTACTTGAAGACATCAGGGTTTTTTCCAACTCTGTGAATGTACACCTGTTGGTGCAACTCTTTATGTTCTCGCTGGACAGTTTGCACAAAACATTCACAAGACATTTTAACGAGTGTGTCTCCTTCTTTGGCCATAAGGTATCCATGAGATGTTGGAAGAGACTCGGAATACAGCAGCAAGCCAGCTGCTTGGGAGATGTGCTTTTCCACAGACACGACATTTGTTGTGGATGATGAAAGCAAGCAGCGCGCGGCCCGCAGGCCACACACAAACCTCGAAAGCAGAGGCATTGGGATGCACTGACAATATCTTACCATGCAGCAAGTGACATGTTCAGTCATAATGACTCAACGGGTAGACATCCTTCAGGTTTCGCAAGCTTTGCTGGAACTTAAGACAGAGTCTTGGAACAAGTAGGGTACTCAGGTTCTACATGGTGATACGCTCGTGTCATTCCAGTTTTGAGATCCAGTTTGGAGATTTTAAAGATTTTTGAGGTGGCTTGTCCCGTTTTGATGTAGCACGATGTAGCGCTTGCAGCTGAGGTTCTCAGAAGTGGATCAGCGTGCGATTCCGAAGGATCTGGAAGGATCTGGAAGGATCTGGGACTCGAATGGCGATCCACCGAGTTCACCGCTGAGGCAACGATCGACACCAGGACTTCTTAAAGATGTTGGACCAGGCTCTTGGAGCAAACAGAACTTGGAGATACTTGGAGCGCATGTATCGGAATGTATCGATTTGATCGCGCTGTCAGGTTCTTGCTCGGAGGGTGGAGTGGCTACTGACTTCACCTTAGTTGTTTGAATGTTTTGTTGATTCATGTTGGTTTTAAGTCCTTCCAAGCATATTAGCATCAAGCTCACTTTTTCGCACAGTTCGATGTCAAGGCATTTTTTGGTTTTTGGAGCAAAGAACACCAGAACGCGTGCACAACAGCTCAACTGAATTGGATCTTATCCGTTTTATCCTGGGTGGAACGAGGCATGAGGCTTCTTCTTTGGTGCCACAAAGCCCAAGAGCCCAGTTTTTCGCTGCTCAACCGGAGAATACCAGAGATCTGTTTGTCCAATGCCGGTCCCAACCTGTTCCAACATGTTCTGACCCGATTCGCTTCATGAGTCAAGGTGAAGATCTAGAACTTCCTGGCACTCCCACGTGAAGTCCTCAGAGCGACAGTTGTCAAGTTGATGTGAGTCAGAGTCAGACCAAGAGCTCCAATTGGTTTATATAGGCCTCCTGATGCATCTTGATGACATGCGAGGCTGCAATACAAGAGCTACTTTTCGCCCAAATTCAGTGCTGCAGGCCCTGCTTGCACGATGTCCGATCAGCAGAGTGTCAAGTTTGACAAAGCAAGAAAGAACAGTGACCATCAGAGACCTTATGACGACCTGTTCCATCTCAGGCTGCAGAGCCTTGCAACTGGAGCCGGGAAACCCTGTGACAGGTGCTTTTACAAGTAGTACCCGGGCAAGCCGGGGGCGGAAGTTTCAAAATTGAAACGCTTATAGCCACTTATAGCCTATAGAGTGGAAACAAGACAGTCCCTATAGCCTATAGGGTGCAAGCAGGCCTTCTGTGTTTTGCAGCAACAATCTCTTGACTCATTCCAGTGCCATTATCTCGTTTCAAGTTTGGAATCTTACTCATTTTATCTGATCTCATCTCATCTGGGCTCATCTCATCTCGTTTCATCTCATTTCATCCAATCTCATTTCATTTCACTTCATCTGATCCAATCTATTCTCTTTTCATCTCACATCTCATCTCATCCAATCTCATTTCATCTAATTTCATCTCATGTCTTGTTTTCTCACTTTTTTTTTCGCATCATCTCATCTCATATCCTTTCACGTCGTCTCTCCTCTTCTCAGCCCACCCCAGCTCTTCTTAGTTGATCTCAATCGTTCTCAGCTCTTCTCATGTCATCTCAGTTAACTTCACCTTGTTTAACTCATCTCATTTTGTCTCATTGAGGCTCATCTCCTGGAGCCTGTGTACGCTTTCTTCAGTTCTTTTTTTTTGCTGTCTGATTTCTTTGCTGTGAGAATTCTTTGCTGGGAGGCTTCTTTGCCTGGGAGCAACATTGATGCAGCCACTCCAATACGATTTGCAAGTGGCAGGTTGCAGAAGCCAATAGAATTACGTTGGCAAGACGAAAGCTTCTCCTGGCCAAAACCTAGATTCAAAACCGGATCTCGGCACCAAAGCATGCCAAAGCCGAAAAAGCACAATTTTGAACCTTTTTAAAAAGAATCTTAAACGGAAAGTGAAAGGCGCCAAAAACGAGAAAAATCAGCAAAAATTGATTGCCGCAATCTTGTGGCAATTGAACTGCAACTTGTGAAAACGAAACTTTCGCACGAAAGTGGAACATGTGAAAACGAAGCTTTTTCGACGCTTTCGTGCGAGACATCCCTCATAAGGTGAAAGTTGCAGATGTAAAAACGAAGATTTCGTGCGAGACCTCCTTGAAACTCAAAGTTGAAGATGTGAAAACGAAGCTTTCTTTCGTGCGAGACTTCCCTCAAAAGATGTGAAAACGAAGCTTTTGTGTGAGACCTCCTTCAAAAAGTCGAAGGTATAAAAACGACGCTTTCGTGCGAGACCACCCTCAAAAACTGAGAGTTGAATATGCGAAAACGAAGCTTTCGTGCGAAGCCTCCCTCAAAAATTGAAATCTGAAGACCGAATCATTCGTAGATTCACTTGTGATAGTGGTTGTTGTGATAGCCCGAGAGTTGATTAAGAATCCGAAAGCTTGAGGCCCAGGGTCCCTCAAATTCTTAAAATTCAAATATTTGTAAATGCAGGCAAATTTCCATTATGATAGGTCGAGGGCCCCGCAAATTCTTAGAGCATTCTTCGTTATGTATTGTATGCATCTGCGCAATTTGGAGCGGGCTTAAATGAGGTAACGTGGCAGATTTAACAAGGGGCATGCGGAAACCCAGGCCAAACCCAGGCCAAACCCCCAGCCCCTTGCAGCCAGCTCAGAGAGAGAGAGAGAGAGAGAGAGAGGGAGGAGAGAGAGAGAGGGAGGAGAGAGAGAGAGAGAGAGTAAGAAGGCAAATTTTTCCCAGGCAAGGGTCCTGTAGCACAATGGTTAGAGCGTTGGGTCTTCAGGCTTGAAGGTCGCGAGCTCGCGTCCCGGAGGGGTAAGTTGTGCGGGCTAAGTTTTCATCAACTTACTGGGGTAAAACAACCAGGGTTTGAATTTCCTCTGCCTCTGCGAAATACGTTAGCCCGGGTTAGGTACAAAACAGGTTTGGAATTGAAAACTGTATCCCAAAAACATCTTGGGCTGAAGATTTTGTACCAAAACCAGTATGTGGTTTGGTATTTTGTAGTGTTTCCAGGTTGTTTCCAAAATTCTGGTTTCTTGAAGATCTTATTTCAGGATTTTGCATTTTGTAGCAGCATTTGGCTGATCATCTCCCCACATGCCTGAGATCACGTTGATAGATGCAATGGACCTAACCGAAGGAAGTTGGAAGCAATACTTCCGTGATATGGACAAATAGAATTGTGAGACTTGACCTTGATGAAGGGTGGTGTGAGACTTTACATTATACATAACAATACATCACAAAAGAATTGACCTTGATGAAGGGTGGTGTGAGACTTTACATCACATAACAATACATCACAAAAGAATGGACCTTGATGAAGGGCGGTGTGAGACTTTACACTACATAACGATACATCACAAAAGAATTGACCTTGATGAAGGGTGGTGTGTGACTTTACACTACATAACAATACATCACAAAAGGATTAACCTTGATGAAGGGCGGTGCAAAATGCATTGTAATGGCTGCATGAATGTTGCATGGGGCTTGTGTTTGGGAGGAAGGCGGAGCATGAAACCTTGTATTTTTCCGTGTAAAGTGGCTGCAGGCGGCGATGAAAGGTACCTCGTGTGTGCGGCGGTTGCGGCTGCGGTCGTTTCTGTCGCAAATGTGTTCCTCTCTTGAGTGGTTGTTCCTGTGTGCGTAGTTCTATGCGTTTTTTGAATTTGCGGTTGCAGATCGCAGTGGAATGGCTGCATGAATTTCTGCGAGACTTCCTCATGTTTCGAAGTTGACAACATCAAAAACGAAGCAATTCTGCGAGACTTCCTCATTTTTCGAAGTTGACAACATCAAAAACGAAGCAATTCTGCGAGACTTCCTCATTTTTCGAAGTTGACAACATCAAAAACGAAAATTCTCTGTGAGACTTCCTTCAAAAATGGAAGGTTGAGTGCAGCGCTGACGGCCTCGTACCAATGTGTTTTGCGATTTTTCCAGTCCACCTGTCTAAAGTACTGCGCCTGCCACGAAAAAGTGATGCCAGGTCATACGAAGTGCTGCACCTGTCTCGCAGAATCATCTCAGCAAAACTGAAGATCTGAGGCTCCAAAATGGAACGCCTCTCAGGAAATCAGCGCCCGGACCTCCTAACAGCTCTGATGGAGATGTCTCTTGTACTGCGCCCGCCACGGAAAATGCATCTTTGCAGATCCTCTTCAATTGTCCCACGCCTGCCATCGTTTTTGGAAATGCCACAAAACCCTCAGGTCTTGCTCACTTTTGACAAGGTCCACCCACATTCCCTTGCGCCTGCCACGCGGAACGACATCTGAACGTCCAAAAGTTGCCCGAACCCCTGGTGTTTTTAACATGTTAACTTCGAAATGTGCTTCGCGCCACAACGGCGTGCACTTTTTCGACATCTCAACTTCCAAAAATGGTCCGAGAATGGTGGGTGTGCGTTTATGTTTTTTACTTCGAAATGTGCTTCGCGCTACAACATTGTGCACTTTTTCGACATCTCAACTTCTAAAAGTGGTCCGAGAATGGTGTGCTTTTACCTTTTTCACTTCCAAATGTGCTTCGCGCCACAACGGCGTGCACTTTTTCGACATCGCAACTTCTAAAAGTGGTCCGAAACCCTTGTGTTTTTAGCTTTTTGACTTCGAAATGTGCTTCGCGCCACAATGGCGTGCACTTTTTCGACATCTCAACTTCCAAAAGTGGTCCGAACGTGATGTGTTTTTAACTTTTTCGCTTACAAATGTGCTTCGCGCCACAACGGCGTGCACTTTTTCGACATCTCAAGTTCCAAAAGTGGTCCGAGAATGGTGTGCTTTTAACTTTTTCACTTCCAAATGTGCTTCGCGCCACAACGGCGTGCACTTTTTCGACATCTCAACTTCCAAAAGTGGTCCGAGAATGGTGTGTTTTTAACTTTTTCACTTCCAAATGTGCTTCGCGCCACAACGGCGTGCACTTTTTCGACATCGCAACTTCTAAAAGTGGTCCGAAACCCATGTGTTTTTAACTTTTTCACTTCCAAATGTGCTTCGCCACAACAGCGTGCACTTTTTCGACATCTCAATTTCCAAAAGTGGTCCGAGAATGGTGTGTTCTTAGCTTCTTCACTTACAAATGTGCTTCGCGCCACAACGGCGTGCACTTTGTCGACATCTCAACTTCCAAAAGTGGTCCGAGAATGGTGTGTGTTTTGTACATTTTGACTTCGAAATGTGCTTCGCGCCACAACGGCGTGCACTTTTTCATCTCTCTGGCCAGATGGCTCCGCACCCGCCGCTTTAGCGAGCCTACTTTTCGACCCTCCGGAGCCACAAAACATTGGAAAAACACAGTGTTTCGCGACTTTCCTACCTTTTTGCGCACCTGAGCTTCTTTCTTCTGACTCTTTGCCTTCTCTGGTCTTCTCTCTTCTACTCTTCTCTTCTCTCTGACTCTTCCCGTCTCTGCTTTTCATCTGTCCATATTGTCGGAAGTTTGACTTCTAAACTTCCTTCGATAAATATAAGATCTGCTCTAGCATGATTACAGCAAGGCTGGCTGCTTCAAAGGCGGTTCCAAGAACCTAGTAGAATTTGACATACTTGGATCGCAATTGCCAAAAAAGATCAGACAAAAGCTTGGCTCAGAGATTGTTTACCGCGGCTGGTCAGAGCTATGGAGAGCTAAGCAGGATTTTAATTTTAGACTTACAGCTTGAATTTCACACGACTGGTTTTGAAACAAAATTCGTCCCAGTTTGTTCTTCTATTTAAAGATTTTAAAGTCTCTGCCTAATTTTTGTTGTTTTTTTCGGGCTCTTCTGGAGGGCCCAGTAGGCTCTACATGGCTCTACAACATGTTTGTGCACGCGTTTGTTACTACAAAATGCAATGCGCCTGACAATTGTGTACGCAGCTGCTTTGAGTTGGTAGACTCTTGTATTGAAAGATCCTGATCACAGCAATGCCGCCAAAGAGGGTTGCGTCGGAGGCTGCAAAGGCCACGCAGGGAAGGGCTTGTTTTGAGGGTCGTTGTGGCAGCGCGTTTTTGGCTTCATGTGGCAGGGCCTCCCCTGTGTAGATGGGCATTATGGACATTCAGAAGCCAATGTTTGATTCATTGAAGCATTGACATCTCAAACTTAAGATAAGAGCCTGATAAGAGTCAGCATGTGTGAGTCATCCTGTCTTTGTGGTTTCGTCTTTCAGTGCCAATGGCATCCGGGTGCCTTGCAGCCGCCTGCGTTCAAGCACCAGACCGTTCTAGTGCCGATTGGCGGTGAGCATGTAAAGCATGTACGCAATACCACAATTAGCGGGCAGTTTGTTTCCTGTTTTAATAGAAACGGTTTACAGTTCATGTAGCAAACTTTGTGGCTGTTTGTTGGGTTTCTGTTTATTTCTTTCATGCGGCATGGAGAACCCTGCGCATGCCCTTGTGGAGTGTCGGCGCCGTGTGCGTGCCTTGCAGCAGAGGAAGAGACGTCTTGAAGCCAGGATGGCAAAGTCTAGCTGCGTGTCTCCTCGAGATGTAGACCTTGCTCGCTTAGTGCACACGTTCAGCCAGAACTCACGAGCTGCAGCTGCCCATTTTGTGCGCGGGTGGGGGCGGCGGTCGAAGCCCAAAGCGCACAGTGACGCTAGTGTTGAAGAGCTGGTGGAGGATGTTGTCTGGTCTTGTCAAGCTGGATTGGCAGAAACTGCTCCAATGGACCAAGTTTTGGCTGCCCGCTATGTGCTTAAGGCTGCCAGGGGAAATTACGATATCTGCTCTAGAAATGGCTAAGCAGGGCTAGCTGCTTCAAGGGAGGTTCAAAGAATCGCCCATACAAAATGCCAATCACAAGCTGCGCGCAGGAGTCAAACAGGATATGGATATGAATGTGGCCGAATGTAATGCAATTTGTCAGCTAATCACAGCTCGGTACAAATTCAAATCTCATGGGAGGCACCAAGGGGTACATTTTTTATTAATGGGGGTGAAAGTAGGCTTCGCTACAAAATGCAAATTGCAAGTAGTACAACAAGCATCCCCTGAAAAATGTACCGAACATTCATCTTGGGTATGTTTAGTGGCAAAACTTAACCAGGTTTTGTATTTTGTGCCGAGTGTGCCTGGCTACGCATTGTATTTTGTAGAGAGGTAGACTTGGGCTGGACAAATTATGGCTTACAAAACTTGATCCGGGCCTTAAGTCTATATTCCAACGGGGATGTAAAACGCTGTTTCAGGTTCCCAACTCTATCCACATGTTAATTTTGAGTATGAAAAATTGTTTTTCTGCAAAGTCCGATTTCATCCCATAAGGCCATAAGGGGTCATTCCACAATTCAACCGCAAAGCGGAATTGCAACCTTCCACTTCCCATCCCACAAAACCCGACGTATAAACAGTAATTTAAGAATTTGGCAATCCCATCCCAGGGTCCCTCAAATTCTTAAAGCACTATATATGTGCTTGGTATAGCTGAAAGTATGTAGCCGGCATTGGATCCGAACCCTTCGAATTCTTATACGGTGTGTTCTTATACAATACTCAAGCTGTAGTGGTGGTTGTGACAATGATGGTTGTGATAGTGGTGGTTGAACATAGTGGCGGCTGTGATAGTGGTGGTTGTGATAGCGGCGGTTGTGAGTAGCGGTGGTTGTGATAGTCGTTGTTGTGATAATGGTGTTTGTGATAGTGGTGGTTGTGCTGGTGATGGCATTGGTGGTTGTGATAGTGGTGGTTGTGATCGTGGTGGCTGTGATAGTGGTGGTTGTGACAGTGGTTGAACATAGTGGTGGCTGTGATAGTGGTGGTTCTGATAGTGGTGGTTCTGATAGTGGTGGTTGGTGTAGTGGTGGTTGTGATAGTGTGGTTTTTTGCAATGGTGGTTGTGATAGTGGTGTTGCTGATTTTTTTGATAAATTTTAATATCCGTAACTCGGGAGTACACGTAAACTTCCACATTTCTTTTGACAAATCGGACCAAACTCAAAACAAACAGGCCTCGAATGAGAAGTGAAATTTTGACGGGATTATTTTCGGAGATGTCTCCGATTTGAGGCTTCGAGTGCTGAAGGGAAATTCCAATCGCTCGCCAGGCCAGACCGCTGTTTTTGCGCAGTGAAGTTTTTTTTTCAACGCCAGTCATAGGTTTGCCAGGAGCAACTATATACCTTGAACGGGAACGCTTTCAAGTCCTGTGAAATGACAGCCGGCACAGCTCATGGATCCTCGAAATTGTCATCCGTCACCCATTGAATTGAATCTTATGCATCATCACCCATCATGCGCTTGGCGAAGGTCCCGGCCTTGATAATTGCAGCCTACACCTTTGGTGTTTGCACCTGAGTTTCTGAGTTTCAGTTTTAGCAGTGTCATGAGAAACTGACCGGAACTGATCGATGCCTGGCATCGTTTGGCTGCATGAATCGATTCACTCTGACTGACCTGTGCCACAGTAAGGCCCGGCAAACACCCAAATGAATGTGCGTTTCTACGCTGGCGAGAAGTGGGTGACCATGGAGAAGGCCAAATACCTACCAGTTTCTGTAATAGACCGACACCGTTTATCCGTGCAGAAGGTCGGCCGCTGTTGGTTTAGTCTAGACGTCTCACTGTTGCACTGCGAAGTAGCTGATGTGTCTATCGTGCCGTCAACATGACCAAAGCACAGGCACAAAACATTGACGGTCCCATCGGTGCCAAGCGCATGGGCCTCCTGCAGGAGTTTGCAATTGCTTGCCGAGTAATCTTGTGGCAAAGGAATGCCGCTTTGACAACAAGAGCACGGGAAGAAAGACATGTTTGACGCAACGGCTTGAACATGAGGGTTCTGGTATTTGATGGTATTTGACAATATTGGACACTTGTCCAGGACCACATCAACTTAGAAGATGACACACTTCGGGCCCGTGACCTGGAGATCTGCTGCAATTTGCTAAGCCCATGGACTTGCTTTGGAACACTATGGGAGTTGAGGTTGGAATCGAAATCCTCGAGACCATCCAAGAAGTTGGGCAAGAGGACTGACTAAACGCATACATTACATTACATTACTATGCAAGACCATGTCGGAGCTGGACCATGCTGGACCTACATAAAGACACTGCTTCTGTTTCCGCCACTTTGAAGCGTTTGAAGGACATAACAAAGGCGATTCAGTCGGAGGAGCCAGGCTGGATCTGTGGAAATCAACGACACTTTGTGATGCTTTGGGAAGGTCTTTGCAACTTGAAACACTTCACCCTGATTTCATGCTATATAGCCATGCATATATAGCCCACATCCAGAGGCATTGCCTGCGACGAAGAGTCATTGTTGTCTCCTGAGTTCCGACAATGTACCACACCATTGCTGCAATGGTGGGCATTCTCATGCATCATCACGCATTATCCTTTTTTAATCGTTTTTATTTTTTGTATTTTGTTGTTATTGTTATTTCATTTTATTTCTCATGTCATTGAGATCACCACTATAATAAACTGGCTAAACACCTTCGTCATTGGCTGCTTTATACCTGTTCCATCCTGTTCCAAGGTATGGGGCCAGTGAGCTCCTCTTCCATCGTCACATCAATCACCGGGTCTTATCGCAGGTGCGAAAGGAGGCAGCGGATTGCGGTGTGGGGATCGCTGTCATGGCACCGTGAAGTGATGTGAAGTGCCTCACAACTCGAAGTGATGTGGGGACCTGCTCTTTCCTTGCAGGTAGACAAGATGCAATGCAAGATGGTAAAGTGAGGGCCCATATTACTCAGAAAGCACTGAAGATGACCTTTGCACCTTGAGTTTCCATTGTGTCATATTGTGTCCATAAGGCGAGTAGAATGGCTACTTACAGAAGCGGACCAATTGCCATGGGCTCGGATGGAATGCTGTCCATGTCGAACTTAGCATCTTGAACGGTTCAGTTTGCCAAGGGAGAGGCAGTTCCCGCACGATCATCCAATATGCAGTCCGGTTTTCTCTGCGGGAGGTGTCGCATTCTCGGAGTGTAGATGATCCTTTTCTTGCTGCAAAATGCTGGACACAAATCATATCAAAATGATCAAATCATGAAAAAATCAAGTTCGGATCGGCTGAGGTGGACGGCATGCAGTTTATTTTCTATCCACTGGGATATCGAGACTCGACAGAGGTGCGATCACTGCACAGCCAGATTTTAGATGTTCAGCGTCCGAGCTCCGAGCTGCTCCGGGCTGCTCCGGGCTGCTCCCAAGGGCTTTTGTTCCTTCTTTCTGTACTGTCCCTCGGGTCTGCGCCACAGCACCGCATCAGCTTGGTGGATTTGGTGGTGAGATCAGATCTCATGAGTTTATTGTGAGGCTATTGTGAGCCTACTAGCACTTATGATTCTTATGATTCTTATGATTCTTATGATCACAAGGGTGCACATTTTGTGATGCCCAGGGGTGAACATCAAGTGCAACTTGAACGCGGGCAGCCAAAAACGGGATGTGGATGCCTTAAGATCCTTAAGCTGAAGGCAAAGTTCAGCAAAGTTCTTGGAGGCATCCAGGATGAGAGCAGGTGAAGTCACTGTGAAATTGTCGCTTCAAGGTTCTTGGAATCCACTGAGGGAGTAGTCTGTCATATTTATATATATATAGATATACATTATTCTACTTGATGATATATGAATATTTTTGGAACTTTGTGTTTTTGTTTGGAAAGCTGATGTTTCTAGACTCCCATGCTGATTACTACATTTGGCAGTGCAGCTTTAGCCTTGAGAAAAGGATGAACAACGAGCAAACAGAACTATCAAGCAGCAATCAACTCTCAATGGGTCAATTGGATTCATTTGGGTCAGGGACCATCAGGATCCATCAGGATCCATCAGGACCTGACTGCCACGTTTGTTCTTTGAGGCCAGTAACAACTTCCATGAAGCCGGTGCATTTGGTCGCTGCAATTTCTGTCGACTCGACAGCGCCATTGATTCGGACTGGGGGGATGTCGAGCGGCCAGAGCGAGGCACAAAGCGATAAGCACCAATATACATCCAGTACCAATCCACAATCAATTGATAATATAAATATATATACATGATAATATCATTATATATAATATAGTTCAACTATCATCAACTGACAAAAATCCATAATAATCCATAGTAGTTGGACTCACAGTAGATCACAGTTGGACGAACCATGCACAAATCTTGTGCTAGTAGGAGAATTGAGAAGTTTTGAACCTATCATATGTTGCATGTGACCAGTCGCTCAGCAAGATTTTGTCACCGGATGTGAACGGTGTGTCGCAACAAAGATAGTGACATTATCTGACACCACTCCCGGAAAATGTAATGTTCTGCAGGATACGAACACAGCGCTTTTGTGGCTCGAGGTGGAAGAGTTGATACAGGCCAAGGGATGCCAAGGGCATCCGGGCAGCTTCCGGCAGCAATCTCTTTACGGCACACCGTGTTGTTTGGCCTTGCCCTGTACAGGAGAGCAAGAAAACCCTGGAAGATGAAAAGAGGACAGTCCGAATTTGAGACGCTTCTGTGACTTTGAATGTCTCAAGACAATCTTGAGAGCCTTTGCATTCTAAAGGAAAGGGAAAAAACCTGCTGTGGGTGTCTCAGAGCATCTCTGTGCAAAAGAATAGAAAATAGAACTGCATTCGACATATTTTCTATTCAAAGGACCTTTCGGAAAGGGAAAGGGTGAAACACATGTGAATGCGGACCCCTTTGCAAAGAGATTTCTGATGAGAGCCCAAGGCGTTGGAGCTTGAGAGCGCAGCGTGAACCTTGAAATATGCAGATTTCTTTGAGAGCCTTCTGACCGGTGTCACCATGTGCATGTGACCTAGACACGAAGGAAGTTAGCTGTTAAGCCTGAATATGCCTAAAATATCCTAAAATTGCCTAAATCACATGAAAGCTAACATTGGAGATGATTTCTGTATGGCTGTATCAGTTTCATGCTGCGGAAGAGCCATCTTTCTATCTCTTCCTGCTTTGTTTGTCAGATATCATGCCAAGGCTCCTGGCCCTGCTGGCAGTGTTGTGAACTCAGCCATAGAAGCATCCATTTGTGAAGTTGTTATATGTTGTTATGACATATTGTGACTATTGTCGCAAATCAGTAACATTCAGCAACTGAATACTGAATACGAAAACCTTTTCATGAAGATATCTTCCAGGGCAATTTTCTGCAAAGCTAGAGGTGAAGCTGGTTCGAATAGCCAACACTGACTATTTGACGGAGGCAGAGAAGTTAGACTGGAACAAATTCTATGCCTGAGCTGTGAAATACTGTCCTGAAGGGCTGTCCTGTTAGACGTACTGCAAAGCAAGCCAGGTGAGAAGATTGCCTTCAATGTGGACAGACCAAAAGCTCACTAACTGCAATGGAACATGGTACACAGTTGGCTGATCGCTTCACAGGAACTTGAAGCGAAGTTTGAGTTATCTCACAGCAGGATCAGCAGGACATGTTGGTCATCCGATGTCATCCGCGATCCATTTGACACCTCTGTGAATTTGTGTCCAACAAGGCTTGGTGACTTCGTCAAGAAACCGGTGAACCTGGCAGAGTTGATGTTCCATGGCAAAACAGTTGGCACTCGAGCAGCTCGGTGAGATGGTTTTCGACGCCATGACAGGATGGTTTTCGTCACTTCAAAGACCTGGTTGGCAGACAAAAGCCTCAAGGGAGTGGTGACTTTGATCCAATTTCAGATGTACACAGACTGCACAGACTGTCACTGTTGTCACTTTTGCGGAATATGAAGCAACCATGGAATACTGTGATACTGGTTTGCATAAGGAAAAACAGTTGACAGCGCTGCTGGTGCTCATGGGGGTGTGACTGGTCGAGGCCTTCCATCACGTGGTTTGTTGACTGAATTGCGAAAAATTGCAGAACTGAGAAATGGATACTGTATCCAAATACTGATCATACTGTATCCAGAGACTTTCAGACATGTGGACTATGGTTCAGCGGGAGCAAGGTGGTCCAAGCACGGTGCCAACTGCTCGTCAGCCAGACACTGTCGATGCCCTGAAATGCATTCGGCTTCAACTAAGCAAAAGCCATATTCCATCCAGTTGGAGAAACTTTGGAGTTTCATGGAGTTTCAAGGTATAACATGATAGAACCATCATAGAACCATCATGGCAGCAGAACCTCTTTTGTTTGCGGCCAAATGTCAACTTTGACAGTCTCCTCCAGGTCCGATCGGAGTCTATGCCGGCTTTACGGTCCGACAGAGGCACAGTTGCATAGACTCCGTCCATTTCTTCACCAACGAGTCATGTGGCAGAGCTGGCAGAGCCTTGAAATATCGTTTGGTAGCAGTCTTGTCATTCTGCAAGGTGTGGCTATTGATCTAACAGCAGGCCCTTGAGCGCAATGCTGACCATGCTTACTGATGATTATTGTGATTGCAACAGACTCAAACAATCTGTGGTAAGAAACTGGAAACAGGGGATGTAGGGCCCCAAAGGGCCCCCAAGGGATGTGGGCTTTGCAGGTCCCGACACATTGCCTTTACTTTGCGGTCCTCAAGGTGAATTTGGCAGCGCCATGCTCTCAGGCTCTCAGGCTCTCAGGCTCTCAGGCTCTCAGGCTCTCAGGCTCTCAGGCTCTCAGGCTCTCAGGCTGCTAGGTATGCGCAAGTCGGCTTTGTCAGGTGTGCCATGGTCAAAAGATGTCTCAAGTTGGATTATGTTGGATTATGTTGGATTATGCATATTATGCAGATGCATATTATATATATATATATATGCATATATGATATCATTATGAATTACGATAATTTTGCATATGTCACAAGCTGCGGAATCATCAATCCATAGGGATGAATACACCCACTATAAGGAATCAACGTATGGGATGACCATACCATATAGAATTAATTACCATGTTTTGGATGTTTTGGCCATTGCAGATGTGGCGAGCATTTCTGGATTATTCCGCAAGGCTTTTGTAAGTGTTCTGGTGTCAATCTGCATTCCAGAAAAAATATCATGCAGTCTGTTACAGTCTTATGGGATCTTATGGGTGTCTTTGGAAATGGGGCAAACGCTATACCCCCAAAATTGCTATCTTTACAGATTAGCATATTGATATACCCCAAAATTGCTATTTTTACTGGGGAAATCTGGGGAAGATGATGGTTCCCCAATGGATTTGGGGAAGACAAAGCGTTGTATTGTCTGCATGAAGAATCACCGTTCACAGATAGAAACGTCCAAGGACCAGGGCTATGGCTCGCCACTGCTGTGGGCAGGAAAGTCGCGCAAGGCAGTTTGAGACAACATAAGCCATAAGCGACTTCGTGTTGTGGAAACATGGGAAGTTCTGACTAGAAAACACTTAATCTATTTTCATAAGATAATGGATCATGATGGAAAACATAAAACATGTCCTATCCTATTCGTTCCTTTGATGCGTGGGCGGAGCGTGGGCGAGTTGTTTGCAGGCCAGAAGTGCAGACACCTCAGAGATATTGCAGTGCAAGTAGGACCGTAAGAGGGATTGACAGTGACATGCTTTGTGACTGCAAGTTGTGCTGAGTCTGCGAGCTTTCGGCAACGCTTCTGAGCTACAGTAGTCTCACCTTGTGTCACCAGCCACAGTGTCATGAATACCCTTTCGGGCCAGTGGTTTCTAAATGAGTCGTCTCCTTTCTCGGTCACAGTTTCAGATGTTTCAGTCTCAAGTGTGGAAGCACTTGGAAGCACCAAATCCAGACGATTGGATGATACGCTCATGCCCAGAGAATGTATCCCATGCTAACATCCCATTGTGACCTGCCGCTTCTTGCTGCTTGGATCAGAAGCGAATGCCCCCCTTATTTTGGGTGCCTCGCATCGGTGCTTGAGGCCTTGCTGATTGATTTAATGTTGGATGGTCTGCTTCCTAGATTCTCCAGGCAGCCCATGGCCTGGGGCAGAGAGGACATGGGGACACTCACCTCAAGGCCTGCTATGAACCTGCTATGAACCTGCTATGAACCTGCTATGAATGTTCGGTTAAACGCTGGTGCAGAACTGTGGCTGCTGCGAGGGCACCTCGTAGCAAAAAATACGAGCATGGCTTGTGACATAGTATTGGGCGTAACACCTCAAAAATCAGCATCTACAATTCTTTTGACAGGCAGCTTGTGACAAGCAGACGAAGATCAGTCGCTATATTCTCAGCATAGACAGATCTCTTCTTTTTACCGCGTAAGATGATGTCCGGCCTCGCCATTACATGTGTCCGAAGGGTGCTTAGTGTGAAGATGTTTCAAGATCACTCAGGTACCAGCTGTTGCTTTTGTTGCGTTGTGTGTCCCTTCCTCAGATTTTTTTCCCGGACACATTCACCAGATTTCACCAGATTTCACCAGGAAGCTGCTGAAGCCAAGGCCTTTGCCTCACGGCCAACTTCCTGGGTGTCGAGGCAACGGGCACATCCCAGTTGTGCATCGAGTTCGACAGTGTTGGATTTGGAAGGCCTTGGAAGCCCCAAGGGAAGAGCTTAAAGAGGCACCTGCCAAAATTGGCCAAAAGTGCTGCCAATCTCATTCCAGTAGTATCCAGTAGTTATCACTCACTGTTATGTCGAGAGCGAAGAGATGTCGCAAGAACGTAAGAACGTCAGATGAATCCCAGGCCGAGAGTTGTTTGCTTGGCCGTGCAGCCTTTGACCGCTGAAATGTCAGAGGCTGGCCTGTGCGGTATCTTGAGCTCCAGCCGGAGAAAGAGAACATTGTTATTGTTTTTTCAATTATATCGAAATGAGAGATTGTGAAACGTTCGGTTGAGTGAAAGACTTTATACCCTGTGCCGAGCACTTCAACACACTTTCCCATCATTCACAAGAATGGAACGGATGCACAGACTCAAATATATTGGCTACATAGGGCTGTACAAGTCTAAGACCATACTCCCTCTTCACGGACCTTCACAGTAGGCCTTCAAGCGCTGCGTGGAAGAGTACTCTCCAAATGACCCAAATGAAGATTTTCAGGAAGGGCTTGGATCTTAGATGATCTTAGTATGGCCCCTGCGACCTTGTGTGCCTGTCGCATATCATATCTCTCCAAGGCCGCCTCCAACTGGCTTTAGAAATCTCACGGAGTGCATCAGGCAGTTTGGAGCTGCTTTTTGGATCTTTTTGGATCTTTTTTTGCCGATTTCATGGTCCAGTTTCATGGTCTAGACGTTTTGCATCCTTTTGCTTCATCCAAATTGTCCAGGCCGTACCATCCAAACCCACAGTGGCAGATCTTTCCTGGAGGATTCTTGCTTGCAAGAGCTTGACCAAGGCTTCGAGAAGCTATCATAGGCTATGAAAACTTATGAAATGATACGACAGAATACGACAGTTCAACTGCTGCAGTACTGCTCAATCTAAGAAGTGGGAAGCTTCGAGCGGGATCAGAAGATTTGCTCCATGTGCCCCAGCGACACAGCGGCTATCAGATCTATCAGCAGCATTCAGCAGCTACAGTCCATTGTACCAGGACAGTTGGACAGTTGTGTCAAGGTGACACCAAGGTGACCCCAAGGTGATGCAGCGATGCTCGCCTTTGATCCTCTGAGGTACACCTTGGCCACCGGTTTGTTTAGAGATATCAACAAATGCATTAGGGATGACAATGAAGATGGATTGAGGCGTTTAGCCTTGCCCTCAGTCAGTTTTCAAACATAAGGCAAGTACAAGCAAGTACCAGTCAGTGTAGGTATTTCAAATGAATGCAAACACTCTGAGACCAAGGCTCCTATGATTTGGGAGATCCGTGAGGCGTTGTTTCTCTTGTTGCGAAGAGTATTTATTTCTCTTTGAACTTTTCAAAGCTCTCCATTGAACCTGTTGATTTTACGTATGGAGACTGATTCTGTGTGCACAGTGTGGAGGTCTTGCGATTTGAGCCGACAAAGGTTTGCAAACCAGAAGGGCGCAAGCGCCATCCTGAGACCGGTAAAAAAGTTTATTTTCAATGATTTTAACATATTTTAAATCCATGTTTGCGGCTTTTCTATGCTTTTCTTAGTTTCCATTCTTTTGTTAAACTGTGTAATTCATGATTTCATGATCTAATCCCATTGGTCCAGGTGCAAGCCCTTTATGGGAAAGTGCTTGCGTGGCCTTGAGGCGATGCGGCGATGCTGGCCACAAGATTTATTGATATCTTTGATGATGAATAACATTGAATAAGATTGAATAAGGCAATATGATCAATATTAATTAATATATTAAGATATATATAAGGATGATGTTTGATGTCAGAGGATTCAAAAGCTCCAAGCTGAGCCGGCCAGATACCAGAAAAAGAGGTGGAACAGTGGGCGGCACTTTACAAGGCTAGAACCTCATTCAATCTCCCAAACCTGAGTGGTCACGACAGAAGATTTGGTGTCCTCAGGCTGGAAGTGAATTCGTTTGGCCAGCCTTCACCTCATGTCAGTTGGAAGATGGAGGCCATTGGTGAATGTCAATGAGTGGGCGAAAACTCTGAGAGGAGCAAAGCATTAGCAAAGCATTAGCAAAGCTGTGTTTGTGATGCATTCCAGGCTTATGGCCCTTTGATGGTAACCTGAACTTTGAAATTGAGCAAGGATCTTAGATCTTGGCATTGTTCATTCCCAAACTGCCATGGTACTGTATCGGATGTATCGAAAGATTCCAGCTGTGACTTTCCAAGGTGCAACATTGATCCGAGCAAGCTGGCTGTTCCAGAAGTGTTTGCACCTGTTAGCATAAAACGATTCATTGGTGGGTTGGGTGCTTGGATTTCTGGTTCTGCTTGCTTCAGATGCTTCAGCTTACTTTCCATAGTGGAGATTAGTGGAGCATCATTGAGCATCAGGTCCAATGAGGTGCTTTTTCCTCCGCAGACCAAATTCAGGGTCAAAGAGGACAGGCAAGGGCTTTCAATGGGCTTTCATTTTTCCATCAACATCGCATCTGACTTGTGCGACATTTACTCTACATATGTCATGGAATTGTGTTTCATTGTGTTTCTATGAAATTCATGTTCTTGTGATGCCAATCCTATTGTCAATGGTGGATCCGGTCAAAAATTACGTAGCAACAAAAGGTCAGCAGGTAAATTGCTAGCTAGTCGCCTCTTGTGGCTACAGAATTACACAGGCACATTTTAAGCAAAGTGAAGCAAAGTGAAGCAAAGGTCATGATTCCTTGTCACATGTCAAGGGTCGGCAGTAACACTGTTCGGTGAAGTACTGCATCCATGAGACCGTGTGTCCAGCTCACTGTGCTTGATTTGCCATTGAAGTCTCTAAATGTGAGGAGAAAGACGTTCAGCGAGTCACAGAAAATGATGAGACCAGGGACGTGCATACACGTGTTCTGGAAGTGCACCCCTCAGAGCATTCAGAACAGAGCGGCCTGAATTGAGCCATGAATCCGCCTGTGCCTGAAATCCCCAAGCAGATAAGACTATTGAATCGCTTTTCAGACCTTTTCAACCCCAAGTGCTGCATGAGCACCACTATTGAAATCCCCAGGTCATTGAGCTACCTGTCCCACAGGCAAAGTTCTTAGTGAGTAGAAGCTTCATTCCAGCTGCATTCGAATTCTATGCTGATGCTGACGATGTTTGGATGTCAAGGCACCTGGCGAAAGGCGGCGATAGCTGCGCTGAAAGCAGCGCTGCTTTAGCCGCTGGAAGCTGCGCTGAAAGCCGCTTCGGGGAGTGCAGTGCTTTGATCCGGTGCTAGAGCACTTCCTGCACGACAAAGATCGACGAATGTGACGAATGCTCAGATTCAGAATGATTTAGATGTAGAAAGGACTTCAACGTCAGCTTAAGAAAGACATGTGCGTGCAAAAAGGGTGAGGTTTTGCTTCAAAAATCAGATGTCTACAGAATTTTGCCCAAATCTCAAACTGCTTTGAGAGGTTGTGGATGTTACCCGATGAATCCAACAAATTGATTGGTTTGAATCCAAGCTACTAGGACATGGCTTTGGAGTATTTCCCATGTATTTCTCATGTACTCAGTTTTGCTGAGTGCATGTTGTACTGCCAGGGATTTCCCATGGGATCCCATGGGTATCTCTGAAAGGGCTCAAGAGAGGCTCCTAGGGCGACGTCGATTTGAGAGGCGTTGCGGCTCGGCTCGGATCATTTCTTTGCCACATGACATGCTACCATTTGCTACCATCTGCTACCATCTGCTACCATCTGCTACCATCTGCTACCATCTGCTACCAAGCTACTGAGTTGCCTTGGTTTTTACATCAGACATGGCGCGGATGCAATGTTGCCATCCTTGGTTTTATCAGAAGGTGTCAATGTATTCTGAGTAGATGTTAGAGAAATGTTCAGCCTCTATGTCTTCCAGATCTGAGCTTAATACATTGTTGGATTTTGTTGGGTATTAAAGAGGGGAGACCAAGGTGTCAGATGCCCCGTGCCGATGGAAGCTTGACGCCCCGATGGTGTGGAACTTGTATTTCAGAGGGGCTACGGCTTTGCCATCATTGATACCAGTATTAGATAGTATTAGTAGCTTTGTTTTCTAAAATCCTTTACTTATGTATTATGTAATATATATATATATATATATATATATTATGTATGTGATCTTTTCTGTTTCTTTGTACGTTTGCTCCGAAGACGATTAGGACTTAGACTGCCTTGCAAGATGGTCTATTCTGTTGAAGCTGGCCCTCAGGCTTGGAACCATTCCTAGCCTCGGCAGCCGGTAGCTGAGTGGGATGGCTTCCATACGCTCTGCAAAATACCCCCGAAACATCCCGAACAAGATGGCTCGGAACTTGAAGCTTGAACCTGACACAATCTGACTTGCTTGATTTGGGCAATCAATTACGCTAGTGAAACATGCAAATCATGCAACAGATTGGCACAGGTTTGCTCGGTATCACGGAGCAAGAGGCGCACTGCTTCCAACCGCCATTAACAAGTGCATGCCAGACACGTACATAGTCTACACGTGAGTGTACAATACTATACAATATTATACAACGGCAGAGTCGAACCTCTGGCCTGCGAGTTGGCTCCCTCCGTGATGTCAAGATGTGTCACAGATTCCATGTCTTTGGCCAGGAGGTTGGTGCCTCCTTTCTCTTCCATGCAAGAGCCACAGAGGATACAGAGAGTCCAGTCAGAAGAATAACTTTCAAAGCCGCAATCAGTCGTTTTATGACTTATGATTCTATGATGTTTTGTGTCGTTTTCAATCTTTTTCCAAGCTTGATTTCGGTGTACTGTATATAGATCGTGTCCAGAATATGTTGTTCACATTTGCTCACCATTGTTTAAAATGTCTTTGAGGCAGGTGATTTTGTGGATTACTACAGCAACTCTACAGCATCCTGGATTCCAGCAAAGGCCATGCTGCACTGTGCCAAAGTCCGCAATCAGACGAAAAATTGGATCCCTTCTGACAGGTTTTAGCTCAGCGGGCTGACGGCTTATACGACTTGGATTGCAAGACTGGAGTTGGTGGCTTGGGCTGTTTCCAATAGCTGAAAGGCTACAGCTGCCCTGGTTTCTTGGCTGCGTCTCAGCATGAGAGGATGTGAACCTTGAACTTAAGGTGGAACCGACAAAAGTTCGGGCTGCCACGTTCAGCAAGCCAGAGTATGAGGCTGCGTGGGATCAACGTGGTGTTGAAATACGTACAGATATACAGTGTTTGAAATTCCCAAAGCATCACAAGACAGACATTGCAAAACTCGGACTGAGCCCACTGTTTGCCAATCTTTGCAAACTTGTTGGATATGCTAAGCCTGCTAAGTCTACAGGGTCCCAAGCCTCCATTGTTATAGATCCGTTGCCACGTTCTCCCAAGCATTCAATGATCTCGGGCTACCTTCCAAAATCGGTTCTCGTCTTGCGCACTTCCATTGTCATCGGACTTTCTTGATCTTTGACGTTGACAGATTGGCTCCATTGTTGAGTTCTACAGTTCAACCGCAGGCCAATCGCAAGTTTTGCCATGGCAGTGCAGGATTCCATGATATATTTTGACAGGTACAGTGTGTAATTATATACTCATACACAATATAATTACATATACGCATATGAATGTACTATACATACACATAGACATACACACATACAGACATACAGACATACATACATACTTACCTTACCTTACACTACATAACATTACATTAAATTTCATTACATTACATTAGATTGCATTACATTACATTAGATTACATTACATTACATTACATACATAGATACATAGATTCATAGATTCATAGATACGTAGATATACAGATACATACGTACGTGCATACATATATCATATATATATTATGTAATATAATATATATATATTTATAGGTATATGTACATTTATGTATCATATGTATAGACATGTATGTATATATACATGTTACGCAATCCAATGTAATGCATGTACAGCTATGTAGTATGATGGGATTCAGTACATGTGAATGTTATGCAATGTAATGTAATGTCAGGTCAGGCATGTACTGCAATGTCATGTCACGTTACGTCATGTAGTGTAATGTAACGTCACTTAATGTAATGTCAGGTAATACAGTATAATGCAATGAATGTATGTATGAATGTATATTATGAATGTAGATGATTGTATATGAATATGCTCAGTCCCCTCTACGGTGCAGACATGCCAGGTATGTGGCTTCCTGCGACGATCAAGATGTACAATGGAATTGCAGGTCGGTGGCTGAAGATCACGAAGCAAAGACGAGATCCGCAGACTCCAAGGCACTTATGACTTGGATTGCAAGTCGGGCGTGCAGCCTGACAGGACTGTGAAGACAGTAAGCCATCTTTTTGAACACCCATACTGATCGTCACTGATCAATGTTGATTGATGTTCGTTTGCAGTTTGTTAGTTTACTGGTTTTGAATGAGTTTGATATGTTGTTGAGTCATTGTTGAGTGTAAAGAATAGGGCAGAGTCAGTTCGGAGGCCCATTGCAAAGTTTGTAAATCTTGCAGGATTCGATTGCCAGCTGCTAACACTCGTGCACCTAGCAGAGATGAAGATTTAAAGGTGGGTGCAGCTCCATGTTTTGAAACAGAGACCCTCTGGTGTCATGAAAGTCATGAAACATGGCTGGAACAATCCCCACACTCTAAATGGAGGTTTTAATGGAACACATTGAACTAACTGAGGATTTTCCATTGCCATGTTTGATATCGTTCGATTACAAGAGGGTACATGTTTGCCACGCTTGCTGTTGGTACTTTTCAAGATCTGACAGGAAGAAAGTGCAGAGGATGCTGTGGGCATCGAGGCAACACATCAGAACACCATGCATTGGTCCCTGCAGTGCACTCTAAACAGAACACACATTTGATCTAACACATTACAATATCATACAATATAATATATATATACTGTATATATATAGATAGTACTCCACAATGCAGCTCTGGTCTACAATGTCTAGAATTACAAAGTTGCTGATATATATATATATATTATATATATACTATGATGCGTCTTTGTGTCAAGGATATTGAATGATATTGATATCTGCTTGTACAATCATGTATATAAATATACAATCATGTACATAATTCTCTATAATCATGATGTCATGAATAATCACTGGTGAAAGCAGCGCTCAGGTGTCCGGTGGCTCCAGCAGCAGCTTGTGCCGGGCACTTGAGCCACAGCAGGACTTACGGATTTTGTGCCACAACTTTGGAGTGTATTCAATATAAATATCATATGTATTCATGATGTATTCATGATGTATTAATGATGTATTCATGATGTATTAATGATGTATTCATGATGTATTCATGATGTATTAATGATGTATTCATGATGTATTCATGATGTATTAATGATGTATTCATGATGTATTCATGATGTATTAATGATGTATTCATGATGTATTCATGATGTATTAATGATGTATTCATGATGTATTCATGATGTATTAATGATGTATTCATGATGTATTAATGATGTATTCATGATGTATTCATGATGTATTAATGATGTATTCATGATGTATTCATGATGTATTAATGATGTATTCATGATGTATTCATGATGTATTAATGATGTATTCATGATGTATTCATGATGTGATGTATTCATGATGTATTCATGATGTATTAATGATGTATTCATGATGTATTCATGATGTATTAATGATGTATTCATGATGTATTCATGATGTATTAATGATGTATTCATGATGTATTCATGATGTATTAATGATGTATTCATGATGTATTCATGATGCATTCACGATGTATTCACAAAGTATTCAAGATGTATTCACAACGTATTCAAGATGTATTCATGGCTCAGTTTTCGGTTTGATGGCTGTTTGTACCGTTGGTTGAAGTCGGTCACCATTCTCCAGGATGGGCCAGTTCAACTCATCCGCGTTGTTCGTCGGCGCCACAGCTTGCGAACTTGGCACCCTCAACACAATTCAACACATCTCATCAAATTCATCAAAGCTAGGACAATGTACTTTCCAGGACGAGGCCCTTCATGGCACTTCGAGCTTTGCCAAGATGCAATCAAGGCCAAAGCAGACAAAACAGCCTTGCGAGAGAAATCGCAACAGTGTTTAGCGGAAGTTGCTGTCCAACATATTCTCAGACAATCGAAGTGGAATGGTGTTGATATGGCCCTATCCGTTGGAAGGTATTGGAGTCGTTGGGCCAAAAATGCATCTCAGTTTGTACAGCCAGATTCCCAGTTCCATAGAATCCTAGCCTTGGTCACACCGTTGATTATACGGTTTACATAATTTTCCACAGTATGTGCTGAAAGTACTGAGGTTTGCGGACCCTACCGTTCGCCCCTCGTTCCGTTGACGTGAGCGATTCATGCACTGTCGATCCTTTTTGGCATTTGTGTTTGTGTGTCTGTGTCCATTGTGTGTGTGTGCGTGCGTGCATGCCAGCTGAGGCACCGGTAAGAGCTACCTTCTGAATCTCCTACTTGGGCTCGCACCTGAGAGAAATGACTCGATGAATACCCGCTTGTGAGGTCACAACTCTAGTGTTCACTGAAAGTCTGATGCAATTGCAAACTTTGAGCCTTTGAGCTTTTGGCTGTAGTTGTCTAGAAGCAAGTGCGCACACTGGGTGTTTGAGCGCCAGGGAGTGAAATCCAACCGCCAAAAAAGCCATCCTAAGCCTATTTGATGTAGCATGATGTAGCAATTGTTGAGGCGTATCCAGAAGGGTTACCAGCAATTTCGTTCGGCACCTACCAGTCCATGCAGTTTTTTTTTGCTACGGTCGTTTCCCAACTTGGGTCAATTGCCATCCCATTGGGGGATTCGCGGGATGGTCATCAAATGTCATCAATCCATGGATTTCCAAGATGGGATGGATGATTTTCCACATCCACAATGGAATGTGGCCCTAGCATATATATTCGGAAACTGTAAGGTGATGCATGTAGCACGTACGTGTAGGTTATGGGGTTGCGTGCGTACACGTACATATTCTATGGGAAATATTGTATACTATATCCACGATTATCCACGTGTATACTAGATTTATAACACACGGGCCTTGGTCTACTTCCATCCTTGTATGTGTGGGTGCAGTCATGGTTTGTGCCTGCGGATCAGGGTAGAAACATCAGGTGTTGGTTCCACCACCCAAGCATGTCTTTGCCTGAGTTTGCCTGCAATACAGTGTACAGTGACTGTTAGCAGTTTGATTGCGCACAGCTGTCCAGTAAGAAAGGTACAGACGGCTTGTGGATGTGGGGGTTCGGCGCACCACAAGGCAGATGTGAGTTGCAAATGTGTGGCACTGCAAATTTGCCCGTTCCATCCTGTTCCATTTTTTGTGACTTTCAGGGGTTGACAGTCCAAGTCTTCTCTTCTTGGTCATCACCTCAGTTCTGCAGCAATGATTTGGTTGAGAAAGAATTGGGCACAAAAGCGTTGGAGTTCAATACACGCAGTTGCCGCTGAGATTAGTTGACCTCAAAATGCGTTTTGAAAGCACGGGTGGCAAATCGTGGCAAATCCCCAAGGATTGCGAAGGATTTGGCAGCACTGAGTCTGACAAGACCAGAGATGCCAAGCTAATGTCCTTGTGCATGTTGTTTCTTGGACTGGTCAATGGAGCTCCTACATGTATATATATATATACTGTATATGGATTAATATGGATCAAGTGAAGTGCCCAGGCTTTCTTCGGTCTTTCTGCTCAACACCAAGGCAAGCACACAGCCGACACAGCCACATTGATTTCGTGATATTTCGTGATTCTTGTTGGATCTTGTTGGCGTTTGAGGGGATGATAGGGGATGCTTGGATGCACGTGGCTCGTGCCAGACCGCAGGGTGTCCTGAGCGAGGGTCTTTTCAACGCGCTTTCGTTGGTTTGCAACCTGGCCACTCACGTGGAACAAGAGCAAGACACAAGCAAACCCGCACTTCTGCCACTTGGCGATGATTCTTCTCATGTCATTCCGACAAGCTCGTAGACTTGACAAGATCTACAGAAAAAACACATCGAAAAAGTTGAGCTCCAATTGTTTGCTCTGAATCTCAGGTGGCTTTTGCGTGACTTCCTCTTAGAACTTGTGGATGAGGAGGGCCGCAGAATGACTCCTGATGAGCGGCTTGGAGGAAGTACTGATAGCGCTGCAGCCCATGCACAGCTTCTGTCCTTGCAGCAAAGTGAATGTGAAGTGAAGGGTGCAATCACTGCGATCATGGATTTGCCATGGTTTGCCTCACTACATAAATATGTCATAAATATATCATACATATTCATACATCGCATGTTGCTGAGGTATTTGGAATCCTCACTCCACAAGGCACCTCCAGAAGGGGCAGACAGCAAGCGATCACAGGCTGCCATGGTCTTAGAAGCTATTCAGATCATTTCAGATCCATCTTGACTCATCCTGAAAATTGCTTTCAAGATACTTTCAAGGGGGGGTGATTCGCTGTTTGCTGTGGCATTTGCTTGCTTGCTTCTGGCCACGTAGATGTTTGACCAAGGCCAGGGAAGTGCGAGAAACTCTGTTGAGGCAGCAACCACCAAGTCTCAGCACACTTGCGACAAAAGCTTGCTCTGTAGCGGCTTTCAACAAAGAAGCACAAAGAGCACGAAGACTAGCCTCTGATGGTCAATATTCCATTCGCACTTGGTATGATTGGATCAATGATAATCCCGGTATATCCCGGTTGACTTTTTTCAGATGGCTCAACGACCATGGAGCGTTGCCACTTCGCAGGTTCTTCCCACAGCGGCGCTGTGCAACTCTGTGCCAGCCTGTGATTGTCCTCTCCAGCTCGCTTCATGCGACCATAGATCAACAAATATCATCAAATATCGACAGATATCAACAGAATTCAACAGATATCAGATATCAGAGCTTTGCCCATAGACTTGATATGATTTGTGATAAAGTGTGATAGCGGATGTTCCTGGCCTTGGGTGAGTTGCAGAATGAAACAACATTTCACCACCTTTTTTAGGTATATGCACATTCGAAGGACCCTGAACGCGTGCCAACAAAGCACTCATCGTGTTTCTCCATGCCAGGAGGAAGAGCAGCTTCGGCAGCTGTCCGAGGTGGCATCAAATCCCAACTTGAAGAATTATAAGAATTGGTCTAAGATTTGGGAACTCGGAAACTATGAAATCATCGCCCAAATCCTGCCCTACTTGGGATATTCGATGATATTGGGATACACTATCGCCATCGCCCAAATCTGAGTCTCGGTGTCATCCTTCAATATCTTCAATGGATTTGTAGTTTGGTCTCTTGCTTCACATTGCTTCACTGGCTTCACCTGAAACAGGTGCCCTTCGAGCAATTACGCCCCGAATTCCGTCGAAGCTTCCAGGCAAAGTTCCGCAGCAACAGGTACAGATGCACGGACTGCATTATGATGGGTCGAGTATATCAGCAAGGTAAAGCTTCATAAAGCTTCTGTGAGGAGCTGCAGACGCAGCTGCTGCGTCGAGAGCCCAGCAAAGCGATAGTTGGGAAGTGGCTACCAACTACATTTGGCTTCTAGCTACAATCTAGCCAATCTAGCTGGAATCATCTGGAATCTATCCATATTATCCATATTCCAGAGGTCCATGTGGCACTGTGTGACAAGCATCCTGTAGCTTTCGAGGACTTGCAGCGCAGCCCAAAACAATCCAAGGCAGGGAAGCACTGCAAAGCGAATGGGTCATCGGTCAAAAAATGTCGAAAACTGATGCCACCCAGATTCATCAATGTTCAATATATTTCAATACGAAGAATCTTCATGAATGTTCAACACCTCAACACAGACAATATCACTATCAATATCTCATGAGTGTTGGACAATGATCAACAACACTTGCATTTTGATAATATTCTGCTTGCATCATTGGCCCAGCGGGAAGTCCCGTGGCAAGGTAAACCAGTGTCCGCCGGCTCATGGGCAGCAATGCTCCGGAAGCTGGTCTCTGCCCTGAACGAAGGACATGTCTGGAGGCTCAGCCTGCCAGAAGATGATGAAGCTATATGAAGCTATTAAGCTATGATAAGCATCAGAAGAGAATATGAAGAGAATATGAAAGAACCTGAGATCGCTGACAAGCGTTGAAGCCCAGTACTCGAGCAATAACCACGACTTAACTCAGAAGCTTCAATCTAAAGTATACCCTGATCGCAATTGCCCTAATTTCTTAAGTATATATATATATGTATATAATATGTATATATGATATGCGTTTTATTACCCTGTCCCCTTAGACTTTATGGTTGCGCGAAGAGCGACTGAGACACAACACATGGTAGTTTTGAGAGCACTGCGGACTGTGTAGTCGTCTCCAGCACTGCACCCACTGGATTCTCAGGCTTTGAATGTTGTCAGTGCCTGGAACCAGGCACTGGCGAAAAGGGTTTAGTTTAATACGTGCAAGGACATTTCAATGATGTATTGGTGGGCGCATTGAGTACGAAAAAGTGTTTGCAGTCAATCCTGTCTGATATTGCAATATATTAAATTATATTAATATTGCATCTCTTTTTGCGGATGTGGAGTCAATGTGGAGTTTGAATTTGTAGGTTCAGCATTCAGCCTGTGACGACCTTGCGACCGAGCTCCATGATCGAGCTTCTGAAGCCTTCCAGAAGGATCCTGTCCTGACATTTTCACATTTGGGGATGGGTCAAAACCCTGTACCCCTGGTGAACATCAAAATAGCTGGTAAATGGATGTTCATCCCACTAAAAATGCATCTATAGGTATTGACCCATACCCATTTAGGATCCCACATGTCCTTGATGACGTTGCCAGGTTCGTGAAGGAGGGCCTCTTCCCGTAGCCCGTGGAAGGCACCGTGCCTTTCTAGAATCAATCAGCATGGCAAAAACAGACGGGAGACCATTGGAGACAGCAAGATTGGATGCCAGACATCAATTTCTCTCAGTGTTTCACAATAATGAATAATTGTGATCTAAAAGGACTGCGAGTGCCAGTGTGTGTATGTGAGCTATTTGAGGTCTTTGCCGGTAGCAGATCAGACTCTAGCTGCAAGTTTGAAGGCAAGCTGCACCGGACAAAATACGACACATCTGAATCTACCAAACGAGCCCTTGACAGACTTGTTTCGGGCAGTTTTAAGCTAGTTTGGGTCAAGCTTGTACTACCTCTATTGACATCTATTGACTATTGCAGGAATTTCGCAGATGCCTCCGTGAAGAATGGAGACGTCGGGCAGTTGGTGATGAAGCCGTGAAGGCTGAGCATTGGAAGGACGGCTTTGAGATGCTGATCATTGCTGACTGATGGGCTTGAGCTTGAAAGTGCACAGGATCTGAAGGCAGCAATCAAAGAAGAAGAGAAGGCTTGCACAACTCATCAAAACTCCAGAAGCCCAGCCATTTTGAAAACTTCAGAATTACTTTTGCCGTGACAACCACATGTCATACGTTCTTCACCGTTCTTCAGTTTTAAGCGTGACAGACACATAGTGAGACACCTCATGAGCCAGGGAGTGGAGCGACTGAACGCTGAGTTGGCAGAAGCTCACCTGAACCAAGCAGGCTGGGCATTGGGCATTGCATGGCAGTGCATTGCAGTGCTCGCGCTTTTGAAATGCAGAAGTATGTAGAAGATGTAGAAGTAGCCTGTCATCAGGGACTGCGCACATGAGGAGATGTTCAAATTCCGACTGGTTTCAGTGAATTCGCCAGGTGCTGACTGGTCAGCCTGGCTGTCTCAGGACAGATACATCAGATTGAGGTGTCCCAAATATGGCTGTATGTAGCTGGTCAAAGTACATGTTGGTCATGTTGTAGCTGTTTGAATCTGTTTGAATTTGTTTTAATTGGTCTGAATCTGTTTGATGCTATTTCTTACGGCTATTTAAGATTATTTAAGTACCTGATGTCCGACTTGTGCAAGCGCTTCTCCAGGACCGAGCGGCAGATCCAACTGATCCAAAATCAGAGGCATGTCTCGGTCGCATCGCGCCATCGCGTCTCGCATCGTCCATCGCATTATTTTCCAGGTCGCTTTGGTAAAGGGCTTCCCATGCAGATTTGGCAGGCACTTATCAATGCTGTGGATGCCGACCTCCCCGCCAAGCCAATTCTACGAGCAGTTCGAGAGGAGCCAACGAGATCCAAGATGCTTCTGGAAATCACAAGTGACAAATGACATGCATATTCAACATACATGAACAATCATGAACGTATGACAGTAACATGCAGCATCATGCAGCAACATACAGTAACATCGTGGACTAGCAGCCAGCAGCTAGCAGCCAAATCGATATGAATCAACTTGAATTTTAAACACAGTGTTTTTGTTCTTTCTCCAAAGACTGCCTTGACATCGATGTTATGAGATGAATGGAAAGGCGTTAAGCACTTCTCGGATAGCTCGCCTCAAGTGGGATGGCAACAGTGACGCTTTGAAGGCGTGGATGGAACATGATGGAACGATGGAACAACATGGAACCTGATTTTCCAATTTTTTCCAATTTGTTCCAATATGTTCCAATATTTCACCATTCTGGCCGTTTGGTGTCGGAATGGTGTCCGAATGGTCTCGGAAGACCTTGGCTGTACTTGTCAGGCCAAGCTGAAGCTTGCCACGGACGAACTCGACAGTAAGGCTGTGCAATGACCGGTTCCATTGGGTCTGTTTCGAACATGAGTTGCAGCCAGATGGTTCTCATGCGTTCTCACTACTGTTGTTTTTATTGTTTTGGTCAAGACCGTGAGATGTCATTGGTGCTCTCCTAAACATGAGCTTTACTGGGTCCTGGAGGCCGCTCTTGCCGCAGAGGCATCTGGTGAGCAACTGGAAAAGTCCGGGCCTCTGTGTCTTGTAGGGGCATCGCAAATTGTGATACGATTGTAAGCCTTTTAAACATGCATTTTTGACGAGTTGCCTGACCCTTTCGATCAGGAGTCGTGAGATGGGACATTTGCATGGCCAGGCTGGTTGAGATCTGTGGTAGAGATTTGTGACACTGGTGAAAGAGACTGTGAATTTGTCATGCTTTGCCGTCAGGTTGAATTGCTTCAACAGCAAGTCGTTCTCTCAACCGATGTTTTTTTTCCCTCCAAAAAAGCACAAAAATTATCAAACTTTGAAATCTATCACAAAAATAAACGCAACATCAGCATTGTGTAATATGCTGTACTTGTGCAAAGTCACACAACTCATTGTTATGATATAAATTATGATAATTATATAATTATGAGTGCTCCAGCCAGCACTTCCGAATCACAGAGTGCTTAGTTTGGCAGAGGCCAACGAGGCTATTGAGCGAGAAAGGCAGCTCCGAGAGCAGGCGCTGTGGACATGTAATAGAATTATAATGTATAATATTAGAATATTATAATAAACGTAGATTCACGAACTATGTCTTGTATACAAACAGCACCAGCAACAAGGTTCAATACATTGATATACATATGATATAGTCTTGATATACATTTATTCTTTGAAATATGTTAAAATCACACACACACACACGTCGTGACTTATTTCCCCGTTTTGCTGCTTGCATTTGAGGTACTGCTGGCTGAAGAGGCCACAAGGAAGGCGCAGTATGCTCACAACGAGGCCGCGGTCCCTATTCCTTTAGCAAGGGATTGGGGCTGGAATCTCCAATCGCATGAAACTTCATAGTTAACTACCCCCCTCCCCTCCCGGCTGGCTGGTTCACAAGCAGTTTGGCCGTGGCTTAATCCCCCCCCGCGGGACACCGTCGGCATATCGCCACTGGCACCACATTCGGCAGCATCCGCATCCTCAGCATCATTGTGTTTTCATGCAAAGCTCCCTGCCAAGCAAGCTTTCGTCCCTTACCCCTGGGCCTCAAGTTGTATTATTTGGTTACGACTTTGTTGTTTGTTAATATCTGTTGATAATCTGTTAATAATCTGTTATACTAATTACCATGATCCGTTGTGGGGGTTCATTGTTGAAAGACACCATGGCGATCCATGGTGCATGAGATTTCTTGTCATCCAGTGATGCTTGGGATGCGAGGCCAAGCGGCAGTCAAATCAATCAATTGAGGAACTGCAGACCCAGGCCTGGCTTTGAGTCTCTGAGAATTCCAGATATTCCAGCTCATTAGACCAGGTAAGGTGCGTCATTTATCATTTGCATTCATTTGTGTCATTCATCATAGCTTGACAAGGTTGCTCAACTTCGATCAGAAGTGCTGGAGCTCCAGGAGTGTTTCAATCTCGATTCAGAAACACGTTTCCGACGTTTCCGGCTTTCGATTCGTTTCGATTCGTTTCGATTTGTCAATGGATCCCTGTGAATCCCTGCGTGCTGCGTGCACTGTCACATGCGTGCACTGTCAGGAGAAGCCAGGGCATGTGGTTCGACGAGACCACCCCAAATGTGCGTGCAGCATCATGTGAATCATGTGGACTTCTCAGCTTGGCACTATGGCAATGGCATTGCGCACTGTTCTTGAAGATTTCAATGTCCCAGTCCTTGAGGTGAATTGATTTGTGTGCATCTTGTGCCGAAGAGCAAAAAAGAAAGCGACTTCTTGGCAATTCTTCAATTCATTTGGCAACACAATGTTATTAACAACACTGGATCACAGTCTCCGATTTGAAGCTTGAAATATCATGAAACATCAAGCCATATGAAACCTTGCTCCGCTTGCCTTCGCACGTTGACAGCTTTCGCACATAAACAAAGGCAGACTATGGCAGACTGATGAGTCATGGCAAAGCACAGACAGAATACATGAGACACCGCTGAGACACCGTTGAATTCTTGGTCTCCTTCCGTACCTTAGAGATCTTAGAGATTCTTGCAGACATAACTCAAACACAATGATCTTTCAAGTGGCAACACACCTGCAGTCATTTAGCAAAGCTGTATTCATCTGTATTCTAGATTGGCATCATTTGGCATCCTTTACATTTTGAAAGACTTGGGTCAGAAATGTACTAGGCGGATTCATAGCATTTCGAAGCAGCAGCGGCAAGCCCATTGTTTTGTGGATTTGTGATGGTTCCTTTGTCCGAATGTGTCAACGTCATATGCTCAAAGAGGGGCCGCCTTGAGTGCGAGTTGATTGATATCAATTGTGCAGATTTGAGGCAACAAAATCAAGGATGAGATTATCATTGTATTGTAAAATGATGTATCATGATGTTTCAGGATATGAAAACTATTGAAAACTTATATACATACTTATATAATCTTATATATTATACTGTTATACAAACTTCTACAGTGGACATTATAGCATATCAAGCATTTGATGATCAAATTGCTGTAATTGTTTCATCCATTCAATTTGAGTGTGGCCTTTCGCATTTCATGTGCGCAGCAAGCACCCCAGGCCTTCGCCGAGCAAACTCGGCAAGAGCCTTCGCTTTGCCGGAACCCAAAGAAACCGAAAGCTTCAATTAACTCAACAAAGCATAACAAAGCACAACAAAAACTGACGAATATTGACACAGCACAGTTGTTGAATCTGGTTGATGAGTGTTGATGATTTAGTTAAACACTTTATTCTCTTGGTGTTTTGCATAGTGGTTGGCAGCTGTATGCAGCTATAAAATTCTGCAAGCACATCATTAGGAGATAATTAGAAACCACTTCCTGCTTGCCTTTGACAGTCCAAGGGCCCGACCGCCACCTCCGGTGCGTGTCAGACAGCAGTGTGTTCAAGGTGGCAGCCAGAAAGACGCAATGATCGCAGTGTAATTCTTTGTTGATGTTTGTTTTATCGTGTTTTATCTCGACACTGTTGCAAAATCATTTGCTTGGTTTGCTGGCATTTACGGCAGTCTTTTCGGAGGTGTATCCTTGTCTCACCATGTCTCAACCTGGATGTCAAACTTGTAAAGTTGCATGCACACAGTATTGCACTGATGTCAATCCCAAAGAGAATGTGCGGCCATTTTCCTGTTTTTTTCCGATTTTAGGCGTTGATTCGGCTTCCTGGTTAACCGAACAGCTGAACAAGAAGGTGCGGTCCAGTGGTGGCTGAGCCAAATCCCATGGCAACAATGAAGACCTGCAAATTTTGCCATCAGACCTTCGAGTGCATGGGTTCCTGGAGAAGCCACGTGGAAGTTCGCACGTCTCAAAATTGCAGGATAGAATCGGATAGAATGATCAAATCTCGGTTGAAGAGAAGTTTAGGTTCCAACTGACATTGGATCGATTTGCAAGAAGTATCATAAATAAACATATTCAATAATATTCATAGACTATTGATGATTATTGTCATGCTACCAGATGCTACCAGCAGTCTTGGCAGGATGAGGCTCTCAGACCTACGCAGGTGGGTAAGACAGCTGGAAGAACTGAAAGGGAGATGAACAGAGTAGAAGGATTGGGAAGGCTTATTGAATCTATTGAAGACTTACTGATGTTTTTTGAAAACATTTGAGCAGCGATCAAAACCCCGCAAGAAGAGTTGAGTTAAACTCGTCAACTCCAATGATTATACCAAGCGTGTGCGATATTCCTGCCCCAGTTCCAATATATAAAAGAACAAAGTGATGAACAAGACCGTTGCAGAAGCTCTCCGGAAGAGAAAGTCAACACAGATGCACCCGCGGAAGCCAAACCCACACGGAAGATGTGCGGAACCTTTCGCGGAAGAGAATGGGAGTATACAGGAATCGTCAGAGGCTTTTGAAATGTTTTGAACCTTTCGCTCATTTGAAGACTTTGAAGATGCTTTAAAGATGCGCAAATGTCGTTGTTCTTCGCTTCGTTGGCTTCAGGAGCAGAATGACCTCAGAAAGTGGTTGGTGCTTTGCTCAGAGCCTTCTGATGCGTTCTGGCAATAGCTGAAAAAGATGATAATCAGCATGAATAAATTAACTAAATATCATGGTCTATTACTATATATATAACTATGTATAACAATAGTGATAAACATGATATCTTAGGCAAAACGTGTGTATTATATGTAATATTATAACATATATGTATATATGATAATAATAAACAATAGTAATATGTAAAAATTAAACAGCTTGAGCGTGTGGAGCTAAGGATGCAACATTAAAACCACTGCTGGAAAAGCACTCTGGCGGAACCTTTAACACCTTCGGCTCCTGTGTTGGTCTTAGATCCAGACGTGGCATGTACCATGCCTCATTTTGACATTTACAGCAGACATTGCCCACATGAAAGGTCAAAATGGCTTCTGGATGAATGGAGTGACCAGCCTGTTTGATGTGTTCCACAGTGTGATGTGTCGTTATTTATTTGTCAGGTCAGAGATGGCAGTCTCGTTTCTCCTTTGAAACCACTTCATTGGGCCAGGTAGCGACATTGATGCTTGCTTGATCATACCAAAATGCCTGAGAAAGTCAGTGACCCAGAGATGCAGCACCTGTCACTGCAATGACAGAACCTGAGATTTGCTTAGGAATTCGTGGCTCACTAAGCTGCTGCTTGGCACAAAATCATGCCGTGATATTTGAGCGACTAGACTGATTAGACACTCGTGCTGGACATATGTACAGCGGACATATTATGTACAGACACTGAGAATGGCTTTGGAACGAGAGGCGCCTCGTCGAGAGTTTGGCGATCACTGAGAGGCATGGCATGTCACAGATATGTCACAGTACCTCAACTGGCCTCGCGACTCATGACACATATGACACCACTGTGGCGCAGGTGGGGTTCTGTGGAGCTTGTACAGGGCGCCCGTGTCCCTGCTAGGAACTGAGAGCGCCGAGTCGTTGAGGATGTCCACTGTTTGAAGTATATTGAAGTATAAGTATTACACAAGTGTCAGCCATCAGAGCATCAGAACAGGAGAGTTGTTGGGCCAAACCTGGGAAGTTCAGAATGACAATGCCGCATGTATGCGCTCGTCTTGAGCTCTTGTCAAGCAAGGTGGCAAAGATTCACGATGGGAAAGGCGACATGGGCACATAAGCTGGTGTTTGTATGTGCTTGGTCCAATGAAAAAAAGGCGTCAGTCTTGCCGCTCTCCAAGTGCGTTGATCTTGTGTAGCAGTGTTTGGCTGGAAGGGCGAGACTTATGCGATGTTTCCGTCAACAACGTGATCGCCCAAGTTTGCCTTCTAGATTATAAAGATGCAAGTTAGACATTAGTTGACAGAAAATTGCAATCGCGCGAACTGACAAACTGCATCAAGCACCAGGTTGCTGCGTTGGAAAACTCCAGATTTGTTGGGGCAATGTCCAGCCTCGACTGGAGGGTTCCTTGCACGGGGCTTGGTTGGTCCAGGTCTGTCGGAAGGCTCTCACATGACATCTGATTCGTTACAAATTGGTCATCACTGATGTCATCATCTGTGACTAGTCGTACTGATTGTGTCGTATCAGTCGTCATGCGCTATAGTTCGCTCTCAGGCTTGGGCCGTTTGATCAAGCATTGGGCGTCACAGACACCGCCTCAGTGACGTGCTCTTAATATCGCCGTGGCTCTGATAAGATTGAATAAGATTGATATGGGTTTTTGATGGTTTTTGAATGCTGTTGAAATCTGTTGAATTAAAATGAACTAAAACGATTTGTGTCTCCCAGGCGCCGCATCAACAATCGCTCTGAGGGAACGCTCAGCACATACACGCTCATCCTGTGCCATTGCTGCACTTGGGAGATGTTGGCAGTATTGTGAAATGATGGCTCGTGAAGAAAGAAGCAACTTGCACCTGGTACTGCACCAATCGATATTTTATACTTTCAGATATTATCAGTTCAATATAAATCAGAATAGCACTACAGTTACCAGATGTTACCAGTACGGGCTGAGATACAGACGCAGTACTTCTGTTTTGTGCCCTCGAGGCAGCTTTTCTACTCGCTCCAGCTTCGGGATCCACCAGTGCTGCCTTTGGTCACGAACATCCTCAAGGATCCGGTGGCGCCCGAAGGTGGCTTTGACGAGAGTGCCATAAACGGCCACACATGCAAGGTCTATGGAGATTATGGAGTCTATGGTCCCATTGCATCCTGTTTGCATCCTGTTCTCCCGATCTATTACTCTATATTACTCCAAGTCAAAAAGAGCTGTGTGACAGGCATACTCTAACAGGATTTGCTAGGGCAACCAGTTAATGCCGTGTTTTCTTGATTTTCCTGTGCATGTTGCACAGATTTTGCTGCGCCATTTGGCATCAGGCACTGAGACTGGTGCCCAGGCAGGTGCCATTCAGATCCATTTGGCCAACGCCATGCAGCCACGCATTCATCTTCACAGGTGCCTGCGAAGGCGGTGAACCATTTCCTCAAAGATCCTGAGATGGTCCAGCAGACATGTTGTGCCTGTGCGCAGGCTTTCCTTTGCGTTTTGCACACAAAAGACATCCAAGGAAAGTAATCCCTTCCCCCTATTACATCCTATTACTAAACCCCCCCAAAATAATAAAGAATAAGGGTCCGTGTTAAATTTTGGGAAATTTCACACTGGCCAATTTGATTTTTTGATCCCCTTTCAAAAACAAATCAAAAATGAAGGTCCCATTTCAGGGTTTCACCCCCTAATAATCAAAACTAGTCAACCCCGGGGTGTTTTTTAATTAGGGTCCGTCTTTTAAGGTCGAAAAAAAACGGATTTTGTATTAAGGTCATTAATTTCATATTAGGGGAAAGCTTCGAAATAATTAGATGTTAAAAGGAAATCTAATCGATTTTGAAATAGAAAAAATAGTTTTTTTATATTAGGGCGGTGTTTAATTTAGTATTCGGGAAAAGTTTCGAAATCCAATTTTTGGCAATATCTTAATTAGATTTCAAAAGGAAATCGAATCGATTTTGAAATAGAAAAAAATAGTTTTTTAGATTATAGGGTTTAAATTTAGTATTGGGGGGAAGCGTCGACCCTAATACTAAATACCACCTAGTAGTAAAAACTACCTGAAGTGTTATTATTTTTTGGGGGGGGTAGTATTAGGGGGAAAGTATTCTATGTATTATCATATTATTGCCTGTGTGTGTGTGGACTGTCAATCATAAAACAAACATGCCAAGTCCATACAAGTGCCATATATTTTGACTAAATCATTATGATGATGATCGATGATCGATGATCGATGATCGATGACGATGACGATGATGATGATGATGATGATGATGTTCGATGACCTATCATCGATTTTCTATGATCGATTATCGATGATCAATGATCGATGATGACGATGATGATGATGATGATGATGATGATGGAGATGATGATGATGCTCAATGATGATGATGATGATGATGATGATGATGTTGATGATGATGTTGATGATCGATGATCGATGATGATCGATGATGATCGATGATGTTCGATGATGTTCGAGGATGTTCAATGATGATGATGACGTTCAATGATGATGATGATGATGATGATGATGATGGTGATGATGATCGATGATGATCGATGATGATCGATGATGATGATGATGACGATGACGATGACGATGATGATGATCATGATGATGATGGTGATGATGATGATGCTGATGCTGATGATGATGTTCAATGATGATGATGATGATGATGATGGTGATGGTGATGATCGATGATGATCGATGATGTTCGATGATGTTCGAGGATGTTCAATGATGATGATGACATTCAATGATGATGATGATGATGATGGTGATGATGATCGATGATGATCGATGATGATCGATGATGATGATGATGATGATGATGACGCTGATGATGATGATGGTGATGATGATGATGATGATAATGGTGTCACGATGTGCTCGTAGTTGCCTCTTTATAGGTCCATGATTCCTTTCGTGCAGATCTTGCCAGGATGAAAGCACGGGCCAGCTCCGTTCTTTGTACTAAGCTGAACTGCCACATCTCTGAACGGGGCAGCCCGCAACTCGGAAAAGCTTTTGCGTGCTGCTTGAGGCCCTTTCTGACAGACCCAGCGACGATCAGAGAGGCCCTTTTCGAATTTGTTGTTTTCTTGCTATCTATACGTATTAATATTATTGATAAGTATTGAATAGTATTGATAAGTATTTTATATTTTTTTATTTGCTTCTTATCATGTCTTGGGTTCTTGGACAAAACCATTCACGGTCAATGGATCAGGGCGGGAGATTTCCGCAGCTGAACATGAACGAGGACTTGTTGAATTTCAGTTGCGGTACTTGGATTCTTCACACAACACATCTGCCAGGAAAGTTTGGGTGAACTTCTTGTGGGTTTCTTTGAGCTGTGGGGGCGGGAGGCGCTGTGCTTGAGATTCCTTTGGTTTGCTGTTGATGAAATTTGATGACCCATCTCAAACCTGCGGTTCCCATGTTTTTTTGCACGCAGACTCTTTGGTCGGAGCACTTGGCCCATAGCCAAAGTGTAGCATGGGTTTTGTGCCAAATACAATGGAAGTAGAAAATGGTAGAAACATGTAGAAACAAATAAATAATAAATAAACAAATAAATAAACAAATAAACACATCGATAAACACATATATAAATAATATAATATATATAATATATATAATATATATAATATATATAATATATATAATATATATAATATATATAATATATAATATATAATATATATAATATATAATATATATATAATATTATATATATATAATATATATAATATATATAATATAATATAATATATATGTATCTATCAGTATATATAAGTACAAAAATGCAATCCATGAACATGTCCGATTTTTTCCTTTAACCAAGATACTGTAGCTCTGTGTTTACATGAAGCAAAACGCTACCTCATGATCGGTTGTCCTTCCACGGCTCTCGGTATTGCTTCGAAAACTCTTCAACATCGATGTCATCGGTGTTCACAAATTTGGCGTGTGATTCAAAGGCGAGCAGTGGGCACTCCCAGCAACCCTTTGGAGCTACCACAAGAGGTTTTTTTCCGTCAGTCACCATCTCCAACTTGTGATGGGTTTTGTTTCTTCTCCAGCGACTGGGCTGACTTGAAGCTGCCTCCACGTCACAGATTTCCCATCGATAAGTATCAACTCGTCCGAGAGATGTTGCAAGACGAAAAGTTCGCAGTCCTTCCTGGACCTTTAGCTACATTTACGGAGGCTTGCTTAGCCCATGACGTCGAATACGTAACCCAGATTTTTACTGGAATGGCAACAGATGAGATGCGAAGACGAGTAGGTTTCAAAGAAGCTCCGATGACTGCCTACGTACTTCGAACCCTGGCAAGTTTGGGTGCTACAGTTGCTGCGTTACGACACACCTTAAGCAGCGGGATTTGGAGTGGAGCAGTGTCTGGTGGTACACATCATGCATTTGCTGACAGGGGTGAAGGCTTTTGTGTTTTCAATGACATCGCTGTTGCTGCCCGTTTGGCGCAACAAGAATTTGGCATTTCTTCAGTGTTGACCATCGATTTAGATGTGCACCAGGGCAATGGAACCGCAAACATTTTTGCTGGTGACAATTCAGTGTACACGCTCTCCATCCATCAGCAGAAGGGATACCCCTTCTCAACCCGTTACCCCTCTGACTTTGAACTTGACCTGCCTGATGGTTGCAATGATGCGGAGTATTTGATGGCTCTACAACCAATTGCAAAACTTGTAGAGCTTCAACAACCTCAACTTATCATTTTTCAGGCTGGAGTTGATGGTTTGGTTGGTGATCGCTTCGGGCGTTTCGCACTGACACGGGAAGGACTGCAAGAAAGGAACGACTTTGTTTATTCCTTGGCTGCTGCATATGGAATACCAGTGGTCATCACAATGGGCGGTGGATATCATCGGGACATCCAAAAGACAGTCCACGCAAGTGCGGATGTTTACCGACAGGCTGCATGGACTTGGAATGAGGTGTCAAAAAGCGTGCTCACGCATCGCGTGCTGGTGCCATTGTTTGAGCAATGCAGGACAATGATGGATACTGACATCTGCAAGGGAAGAAAGAGGAAAGAATAATCTGATCAGCATGCATGAACATAGACTTCAGATGATTTCAGATAATTGAACTTGTTGTGCAAAATAAGTTTAGTAGACCAACGAATGGAAGTATGGGATGAGGTAGGACACAATGTATAGAGATAAGATAAGAGCACATGCCATGAAATGTGTCGTCTGATTTGCAAATTGGCAGGGGTATGTCTGGGCGCTGATCTGCAACCTTTGATGGATTGGGAATTTGCTTCATTTTGCTCCAAATTCGGTTTCACAAACAGGAATTCGGTGGTGGAGAAGATGGTGATGGACAAACCGTATATGTCTATGATGCTTCTCGAGAGCTAAATGATCTTGGAGTCCTTGTGATGAGGCAGGATCAACATTTATGAATTTATAATCAATGCTAGGCATCCTGATCCTTTGTGCATGGCTGTGTAAATAATTGGATCTAATTGGTGGCTGTACAAGACACGAGGTGCCCTCTCACTGGAAAGAATGTTAACCCGTTCACCACGCTGGCACCAACCTTTGGATCAGCCTTTGTGAATCTTTTGTGACATGTCCAGTGCCTCGAGCATCTCACAGCGACGGATGCTTTGTTTCCATTTTCTAGAGCAATTTCCCAGGTATGGAGATCAATTCACTCTGAATTTGCTAGAGCAGCTTCGCTCCTGCAACAAGGCACTGAGACAATGGAGAGACATGAACAGACAGGAAATTTACCTAAAGAGACGGCAACTACAAAAACGTACCAAAAGGATCTTTTTCAGACCACAATAGCAAGCTGCAGTCCAGTGGAAGTTAGCTTCTATAGCACATATAGCATACTATATTGTTGTCTTTTAGACATGAACATGTCTGGCTTTGTGAGGCTCTGTGATCAAATTTCATGTGCAATGTGCAGATAAACTTTGTGAGGATGTAGCCTTGAGGAGCTGTGTCAGCCAGCTGAGGCCAATTCCCGGCAATCGGAATGGAATGAGCTTCATTGAAACAAGTGCAAAATAGTGGAAAAGCCATGAACATATAATGAATACATCATGAAAATACCTAGAATATTCTAGAATAATCCAAGAATCATGACAGTAGTACTACAGGCAGAGGCACTGGTATGGGATGGAACCTCTGTAGCCAGACTTGCACACAGGGGCTGCCACCTGGTTGTGGTCACCGTGGCGGAGGACTCGGAGACTTGGCTGGAACATGCAATACAGAATGCATTGAACTTCAATGAACATCACTGAAGGATCATGAAGTAGTATAATAATGTATAATATTTATATATATATATACATAGTTAATCATAGTTATATAGTTTAATATATTTCAATCCATATTGATATAGTGAAGACACTTATTGAATATAGATTGATATTGAATGAAAATGAATGGCCCCAGTCCATAAACATGATTAAACATGCACGAGAAAAATGTGAGAAGCCCACAAAGTCAGGTGCCGAAATTACTGCGGCCCTGGGCTTCGCTCGACCTAGCGAAGAGGGTTCACAACCTGGCGGGTAACGTTTAAAAAGGTCAGCGTTGCGCCTCGGGAGTGTTTTGGGATTAGGGCGAGAAAAAAGATCTCCATGGTATTCAGCCATTGCCAGAGACCGTTGGCTGTACATTTGAGAAGCACAATATTTATGACTGGTCGGACTGGATGGTGTTGGATGGTGTTCGAACGCGTGGTTTTCCGTTTCCGAAATCGCCTGGCCCAGAATTTGCATCAAAGACAAGTCGCTTTTGATTCCAATCAGTTTTACAGTCAGTATATAGAGGTAAGTTTTTTCAGGATGAATTCTTGAACCATCTTGAACCTCGCAGCAAGATCATGTGGATGAAGGCCCCTGGTCCCAAATGTGGTGAAAGACTCCAATGGCTCCAATGGCTGTTGCACATCGCCATAGAACTGTAGCGACCGTAGCGTTTGGAAAGCTGCCCATGGCGTATGCCACAGATCCTGGAAGGCCTCCCCGCCAGATTTTGGATCCTCACCGGAGCACTTGTGGCCAGGAAAGTATGACAACATACAGGATGTATAAATAACATTAAAATACATTAAAACACGGTAAAACAATGATATATATATATATAACAATGATAAAACTACTGGGGAACGGCGCTGAGAGGCACCTGATGGTTTCAAGCGGGTTTGCGTGCACTTCCCAATGTAACTGCGCATTCAGCCTTGCACGCCTATTTTTTCACTTCTCAAAAACTACTTCAACCATGGAACCATTTCAGGGTAACATGAACATTAACGTTAACATCCCACCCCACCCCACCCCATGATCAACGTGACATCATCAGCGTCAGCGTGACATGAACATGAACGTTAACATCCCACCCCACCCCACCACACCCCATGATCAACATAAAATCATCAGCGTAACATGAACATTAACGTTAACATCCCACCCCACCCCACCACACCCCATAATCAAACAAAAACAGAAAAACACACAAAAAACACAAAACAAACTTTGTAGAGCCAGCAGCACCGGCTCAAGTCTTCCTCCGTTTCGAGACACCCCTCGGTTCGTGCACAATGGCCGCGACCGCTCTGGCAGTTGCCACGTTGTCTGTGGCCGGCACCGTGCTGACGCGGGAGGAGGCCGAAGCGTGGCAGCCAGTGTGGTTGGCCCACAGGCACCTCCGCCTGCACAACCAGAGCTTGGTGGCCAGAGGAGCACAACCCGCGCGGGCGCTGCTAGCCGCAACGGGCTGGATGTAGATCTCGTGCTGGCGGGCAAGCCTCGAGGCTTACCCAGAGGGTCATTTCTTACTCAAAACCTCTCTGTTTTCCCAAATCAGCATTAAAACCCCTTATCAGCACTATAGCCCCTTTGACATTGCAGCCATAAAAACTAAATATTTGGTGGGTTTCCCCGTAGTCAATAATTTGTAGATATTACAGGGGCAAAAAAATGCAAACTTTGCCACCGCGCATGTTAGACACAGTGTCACCCCCCACCAACAGCCAAAGAGCGAATGGCTAATTGTTTTTTGCTTCTGCACACGCATCAGCCTCAAAGAAGCACAAATCATGCAAAATCCGATCCGTGAATTTTCACGGGTCTTTAGCGCCGATATGGGTGGATTTAACGCCGAATTCTCGGAAAATTCTCGGGCGCAGGGTGTCAAACACCTGAAACAAGACGGCTAAATCATAAAACATATTTGACAATCTAGTCTCAGGGCTCACACACCCGACGGCAACAATTGATCGTGACAAAGTCTTTCAAACCATGCACGCGCCAGCACGCCAAAGGTCGGGAGAGCCGTCGACGAGCCAAGTCGCGTCAAGGCGCCAAACGACGTGAGAACGAGAAAAACATCGGCGGAGCTGCCAGCTGCCTCCCGGAACCTTCTCCGGAACCTTCTGTGGAACCTGACCTGGCTCTGCACCAAAGCCTCCCAGACTTCTCCGGAACCTTCGGAACCTTCTCTGGAACCTCGTTGAACCTGACCCGGCGCCTGCAGCAGTGCACACCAGAGCTATTCTGGGCTGAAGACCCCATTAGCTTACGCTGCTGCCGAAAAAAACACCAAAAAGACAACAAAACAGCTAGGCGCCCTGCAGCGCCCATGGCAACTACTGTATACCAGCAGAACCCGCACGAGGCGGGTGGCGGAAGTTTCCAGCAGCAAGCAATTTACACTATAGGAGTGAAAGGCAAGGTTTGCCTATAGGAGTTGGCGTGAAGCCTCACATCTTCGAAACTCTGTTCTGTGAATTCCTCCTCATCTTGCATCACTCCTTTTCAACTGTGGCCACCACTTCTCAGCTTTTCGGAGCTCTTCTCAGACCATCTCAGTTCTTCTCAAGTCTTCTCACAACTCTTCTCAACTGTTCTCAAGCTGTTTCACCTCTTACCAGCACTCACCTCTTCCCACCTCTTCTCGACATTTCTCAACTTATGTATATATATATTGATATGTCTATATACATATATATCCTGTACATATATCCTATATATATATATCCATCCTATTTATATATATATATATCCTAATATATATATATATATTAGGATATATATATATACACATAATATCCTATCTACAATCATGTCTCTCCTTCTTGGTGTTTGACTGTTTCTTAACCATTTTGCAGGTGTGGCGCTTGTGGGTCTGCAAATGCAGAATTTGCTTGCTCGCGATGCAAGGTCGGCGCGCCAAATCATCGGGAAGTAAAACCATAATTGGATACACATAACATTACATCAAACAAATATATTACTGCTTAGGATATTCAGTTGGATAGTGTTCTTTGTACAATAGGTGATTATGACAGACTTATAAGTTGGTCCTGTTATCGATTGTCGCTTCCCTCTTTTTTCAACCAGACCTCACCATATTTCTATGAGTTTCTATGTATTTTTGTGTAATCCTTGGACATTTGGACATTTGTAGTGTTCAGGTGCAGTTTCAGAGACTCTGAGGCCGCAAGATATTGCAGTCAGGAGTGCTTTCGCGCAGCCTGGCCATCTCATAAGGCAATGTCAAGTCCCAGCTGTGCACGGGTCAGTCTTGTGTTGAACTCCTCATGTCTGCTAGGTTTTTTGCGGCCAAGTACGGAAGGTGCAAAACATGGATGTGGTTCAAGATGATCTCCCAATCTGTACTTATCTGTATCCGTATGATTCCCTGCGTGGTATGGACATGTGTGGACGTGATGTGGTCAGATCCGAGTCCCATTCCTTCTCTAGCAGCAGGCGGAAGCACCTTTGCCGGAGCCGACGGAGCCAAAGAGCCCGTGGCCTTCGCGGCTCGGTTTCACAATTTGTTGATCTTTGGTCAAATTTTGTTGATCGTTTGACCTTGTTTGACCTTCGTTCCTTCGTTTCGGATGGGATCGGGATGGTTTGGGATGGGTTCTGGAACCCAGGCCGCTTCGGGGTTCAAGCCTTGCAAAGCCATCAAAGCCTGTTTCTTACCCTCTTCTGATCATTTCTGCTCCAGGAAAGTGCTGTTGAATGAAATTTGTAACTATCTGTAGCTGTTTGATGCTGTTTGATTCTTTTCCAAAGGCGACTCGCCTTCATCGACTTCTGGCCTGGCTTCGAGGACATTTACATCTTCCGCAGCTTCACAATCTTCACATGTTGCAGCAGTTTGCTGCGAAATTCGAATGAAGAACAAAGTTCGGTAGAATTGTGCTGTCTCCATGTCATTTCACTGATGAAAACAGCTGATCCTTGATGATTGATAACTTTCTTCAGGACAACACTGACCCCTGGTTTCGTAAGGCACAGTCGCTGTGCTGCCGTAGTATTTGAATCTCTCTTACCAGCCTTGCTGCTACCAATTGTAGGGTCAGTCTTCATGAGATCCAAGAGTGTAAGGACTGGTTCCAGACGAACCTGAAGGGTGTGGAGGTCGTTGATGTTTCGGTTTGGCTCTTAGGAATCCCACTTGCACAAAGTTGAAAGTGTCGAAAGTGTCCTGTCTTTTTGATTCCACACTTTGCTGAAAAAATCGACCCTAAGTGGCAATGGCAGAGGGGGACATGTAGCTAGGACAGCCCAAATGTCATCATGTTCAGCATGCGGGACGCTTAGACCGTCTAGAGAATGATACCCCCCATGTCGCAGAGCATGGTGGTGCTTTGCTGTGCTGTGATGTGCAGTGTCTATCTTGATCTGATATCCTTATGGCTCCATGCTGAGTCATGCTGGGCAAGGTTTGGTACAAGGTTTCGGCAATTCCTCTCCGGATGTGCTGCTAAGCTTGTTTTCTTTACAGGCAGGTCACCACAGAATCTGGTTTGTTGGTTTGTCGCTTTGTTGGTTTGTTGGTTTGTTGGTTTGTTGGTTTTGTTTGTTTGTTTGTTTGTTTGTTTTGTTTGTTTGTTTGTTTGTTTGTTTGTTTGTTTGTTTTGTTTGTTTTGTTTTTGTGTTTGTTTGTTTGGTTTGTTTGTTTGTTTGGTTGGTTGGTTGTTTGTTTGTTTGATTTGTTTGTTTGTTTATTTATTGGTTGGTTGGTTGGTTGGTTGTTTGGATTTGTTTGGTGTGTTTATTTGTTTGTAACTGTGAGCCATTCGTCACCCCATATGAACACGCTGAAGGAAAAATATTGTGAACGCATCTGAACGCGAGGGTTGAGTGGATTGCCTGGCAGGTGAAAATCTCAGACCTCCAGCCGCAGTCTGAACTGCTTACGTGTTTCTTTTAGACAAGGATAAAAAGACTAAATGCATGGGAAGAATTGTCACGCTGCAAACTCTGAGGCTGATTCAAGTCGCAATATGTTGCAAGTTGCTGGTCTAATGACTGAGCAGAATGGAAAGCTGATGCTGATCGGTGGCAAGATGTGGCACAGTGTCATTTGATCAGGTTGGGAAGGTGCCTTTGTGCATTTCCTTTGATCACATCGACGTTGCTCCAACCATGCACACGTCAAAACCTTACACCAAAGTGGCAGCAACGCACTTTGTGCGTTGCATCAAAGTGCATCATGTAGAACAGGGTGTTGAAGAAGACAAAGACTTTGGAAGTTTCAGCAACAAAAGGTGCTTAGGCTTTGAACCCATGGTTCAAGGCGAATCCCTTTGTGGGTTTTCAACAAGGAGGTCTTCCAGCCTATCAGTGTCGAATCTTCACGTCTTCCCGCTTTCGAAGTTGTTTCTGTTGAGTGCAAGCGTGAACATGTGTAACACAGATGTCAGCAGTCTTCGCAGGTTCACGATGTTTTGGAAATGCATGCACAAAGACTCAGCAAGAAGCTCAGCATAAAGATGCAGCACGAGACCTTTCGGACGCATAGGATACTCATAAGATCCCGTTGCAGACCCACTGTGTTCTGGTGTTGATGGTTGATTTTCACTTCGATTATGATATGATGTTGTCGGAGATATCGTGTATCAGAAGTATTCGGCACATGTTTATGCCTGCGTGCTGCGACAGCAAAAAAATGGGTTGTGTCGATGGTTTTTGTCTCTTTCCTTCACCTCCAAGGTTCTGTTCTGGTATTCATCCATAAATACTGGTAGAAGTTGTGCTCGCTTTTTTGCTTAGAGAACTTACAGCAGCAAGCCGAAAGCCAAAATCCGTTTCAAACATGTTCAAACTTTACATCAGATAATTGCGGTGTTGATTTGATGATTACAAGCACTGCTGAGTGTTCCGTTGTGATTTTCCAGTGACAAGGTGGGAAGGTGGACTCGTCCATTTGCCAACGGGATGGGTTTTGCTGCTTTGTGGCCAGCAATGCTAGTATGTGACCCACGCTTGTTTGCTTGTTGGATGGCTTGGTGGAAGCTTGTACAATTGTGTCGAAGCTTTCAGGTACAAAGCTGAATGGAGGAAGCGCTTTGTGGAAACATTGTCTGCAAGGTTTGCTGAGAGTTTTCACACAGAAGCATTTATTCGGGACGTTCAAGATGCGTTGCTGAGTACAAGCTGTTTCTGTTCATTCAATTCACATCAGTGCAGGTACAAAAAAGTGGACTGTGGGGGGGATACTTGGCCATAAGTTAAGGCCTTTGTACGTTTCCCAGAATTCATGCAAGTCAATAGAGATTGAAAGGTTTCCATGTTGACAATATGTTATATGTTCACATATTTTCACGATCTTCAATGAATCTTCAATGGAAAAGTGCGAGCTTGGATTTGATCGGAATCGGAAGATTGCAGGTAGCCTTTTTGGCAAAGACTTGTCATTGCCGAGAGTTGCCGAACCGACCTAAACAAACGACAGCTGCTGAGACTTCGACTCTGTCGATTTTAGGAAGTCCTGAACAACGTCGGGGGTAGAGTCAAGGACGTTTGCGGATCATCTGGCAAGTAACATAAGTAACTTGGATGAATGCAACCCTTCCATACCCTTCCCCAATCTTCCCCAATTGACTCCTGAGAGGACAAGATCAGCTTCTTGCGTGGATATCGTTTCAACGTGTGCTTTGAGAATGCGTCACAGCCAGGCTCATTGGGTTCTGCTGCAGCATGCCAATCGTATCAATCGTCAATGTTCTCTAGCAGCAAGTTTCTTTCAGTTGCTTTCAGGTTATTGTACAGAGAAGATCTTGCACGCCTTTGCAGCTGGATGTGCATGGGCCTGATCTTTCTGATTTCAAAAAGGCAATAGAGATTGAATTGAAGTTAATCAGCTTGTCCAGAGCAAGGTGCCAATCTATTGGGGTGATCCACACGCCGGGCACCTAAATGGGATTCAAACTGGGTAGCAAGCACTATCAAACACTGTATATCCTAAGAATAGTTCGGATCTTGGAATGATGCTGATAAAGCTGATTGTAAATGGTAGTTATAAGATATTTTGCCATAACTGCTATGACTCTTTTTTAGTACCAGTAAGTCAGTAAGTGGCAAAATCCTCAAACCCTTTGATGTTCCAGGGCTGCCAACTCTGCAGGCTTGCTCCGCAGCCGATCATTCCCTGGCAGTCTTGCTCTTGGTTGCACACGGATGTTTGTGAGCTGTCGAGTGGTGAAACGCTAGGAGTTAGGAGGGTTATACTGACCAGTATGTATTTCGTGGATCTATGTCAAAAACACAAATAACGTATCCGTTTAAACAGAATTCTCTGGTTGGAACCTTAGGACTTCAATCCGAGGGCCTTCATAAGTGCAAGCCCTGGATCAGGAGCATGCTGATGTGGCCGATTTCCACGACTTCCAATGTTTTCCCAAACCCTTCATGGATATTCATGGATGCCGTTGGATGCTTTGTGTTGCTTCTGCTGTCAAGATTCAAGATTAGCTGGGTATATCTTTGTTGTATTTCTGCAGCACCCGCAGAATGGTCCAAATTTGTATCTGTAGACTCTGCAACATGTTGCGTTGTGCAGCGTTTGCAGCTGTGCCTTGGCATGTTTATATGACAAGGAAATACTGTATAAGGATGTAAAAGGAACCATTGAGGACCTGTGGCCTCTTTGGGATCTTTGGGGATCTTTGGGATCTTTGGATTTGCCCCAATTCGTACGAGAAAATCGAGAAAGGATTTCAGGATGATTCATGCAAAGCAAAAAGGATGTAAAAGATCATAAAAACGTATAAAAGAGCATCAACGGTCATTGGAGCCGGGTTTGAATCTTTGTTATTTTGACTCAGTCCGAGGTTCTTTGGCCTGTCATAAGCGCAAAATGTGTAGATGACTGTGACGCAAGCCAGGACCGGGTAGAATGCAGCAATTTGGGGTCACACTGAGTCTGCTAGTTGAGGATTGTTATGGATTGTTCACAGGCCACTACCACTTCAAAACGTGAGCAGGTGGAAGAGCCATAAACCTGCCAGCCTGCAAGCTTCGTTTGAATGGCCAATCTTGGGACCGCATCATCAGTATAGTATATACGGTATATAGTGCTTATATGATCGTATATATGTACCAGTAGTACCGCACAAGGCGGTGGCGGAAGTTTCAAAGATAGGACAACACTATAGGAGAGGCGAGTTGTTGTGATGTATGGATGGCAGAGCGAACCCACTGATGGACCGAAAGGTGGTTTGAGTTGTGCTTTTTGGAATGGTTGCAGTGGTCACCTCACCCACAACTGCTGGATGTAGTGTGGCGTAGTGCAGCTGTAGCTGTAGTTGTAGTGTAATTAGTGGAGTTGTAGTTGTAGTGCAGTGTAATTAGCTTGGTGTAGCGGCGTGTAGTGGAGTGTAGTGTAGTGTAGTGTAGTTGTCGTTGTAGCTGTAGTTTGTGTAGCTGTAGTGTAGTGCAGCGCAGCGCAGCGCAGTGTAGTGTAGTGTAGTGTAATTGAGTGTAGTGTAGTGAAGTGGAGTGTAGCGTAGTGTAGTGTAATTAGATGTAATTAGTGTAGTGTAGTGTAATGTGGTTGTAGTAGTTGTTGTTGTTTTGTAGTTCTAGTGTAGTGTGGAGTGTGGAGTGTGGTGTGGTGTAGTGTAGTGTAGTGTATTGCAGTGTAGTGTAGTGTAGTTAGTGTAGTTAGTGTAGTGTCGTGTCGTGTAGTGTAGTGTAGTGGTTGTAGTTAAAACTGCTACAAAACCCTTACGTTTTGCTCACTTTTGGCAACATGCAGAATCTCTTGCGTCTGCCACCCAAAAGGACATCTGAACGTCCAAAAGTGCTCCGAACCCGTCAGTTTTTAAGACTTTTGACTTCGAAATGTGCTTCGCGCCACAACGGCGTGCACTTTTCAACATGTCAACTTCAAAAGTGGTCCGAGCATGATGTGCTTTGTACATTTTGACTTGGAAATCTGCTTCGTGCCACAACGGCGTCCACTTTTCCATCATCTCAACTTCCAAAAGTGGTCTGAGAGCGTCAGTTTTTTACACTTTTGACTTGGAAATCTGCTTCCTCGCCACAACGGCGTGCGCTTTTTCGACATCTCAACTTCCAAAAGTGGTCCGACGCTGGTGTGTTCTGTGCATTTTGACTTGGAAATGTTCTTCGCGCCACAACTGCGTGCAATTTTTAATCTCTGATCTGGTCAGATGGCTCCGCACCCGCCGCTTTAGCGAGCCTACTTTTCGATCCTCCGGAGCCACAAATCATTGGAAAAACAAAGTGAAGCGCGACTTTCCTACCTTTTCGCGCGCGTGCATTTTCTTTCTTATCACTCTTTCTCTTCCCTGATTTTCTCTCTTGTTCTCCTCTTCTCTGACTGTTCCCACCTCTGCTTTTCCATCTGTCCATATTGTCGGAAGTTTGACTTCTAAACTTCCTTCGATTTTTTCAAGATCATTAAAATGATTTATTTGTCTCCATTTGGCAAGTTTTTAGGGATGTGGCATGTGCATGCATGGTTGAACCGTTAGAGCGGCAGTTGAACCATTCAGGGCTGGTAGAGCCGAGCCATGAATACGAAAGGAACTTGGTCCGGCAATGTCCGGCATGTCAAGCCTAAGGGCATCACAGACCTGTTATTGCCTCAAACTTCCTTGCGTTAGACACACAAAGTCCCTCTAAGAAGTTGCCCATGTAGTCCCTTCAAGTCAGTCTTCGGGGTGCGAAGACTCGCTTAGTTGACATTGGATGTTCTTGATTTTGAAGGTGAGCATGAGCCACGGTGAATCTTGGCCTTTGCGTTTGTTGCATACTGTTTCAAAGTTGGCATGCAAAAGCGCACTCTCGATCAGCAGAGTCTTCTCAATCTCATCATTCAAGATGCGGAGTCCTGACGCTATTCCCCCCCATCCCACAATTTCAGTTTCCTTGTCCACCAGCAGGAGCGAGAAGATGATAGTATGCTGCAGCTTCATCACAAAGGTGATAGCAAATGCACAGGGAAGCACGCAGATCCGTTTGCAACCAGTTCTCGGGTAGCTCGGCAGCATTCCGAAGATTTGAAATTTCACTTAAGAAGCTGTGTCAAGCAAACCACAGTGGCTAGCATGACTATATTGTAGGGTTTTTAACACCGGCGATGCCCCAAGGGTTGTTGATGTTGCCCAGGATGTCGCCCAAATGCTCTGTTGTTGTCGTCGTCGTCGCCGTCGTCGTCGTCGTTGTCGCTCTTGTTGTTGCTTCGGTGGTAATGTGATTGGTGGTGTTGCTTCGGTGTATCTTGCAACCATCTGATTACACAGTTTTTTCTCGTTCGTTTACGAGCAAAACATCGTCAAATATATTAGGTGCCAATGACCAAGGACTTGTCGGACATACCTTAATATCGAAGAGGCCTATGTCATGAGCAAACATCCCCCTGTTGGCGTGGTTCTACTAATCCTATGTATATAATCACGCCAAATTGCAGAAAAAACAGAGAAAACATGTTTTACATGTGTTTCAAACAAATTATGCCAGGATCAAAGAACCCCTGCAAACACAGGGAATGCAACATGACTATCTGGCACACAGTGGGAACAGAATGACATGACATAGGACATTTTCATGAACAAATACATTGAACATGTTGAACATCTCCTAAGTCATGATGTGCAGCATTCTGGAAAAATACGCGCGACTTATGCTAGGAGTTCAATTGCCAGACCACTACCGTCAAGAATAAGTGGTAAGAAGAGATTTCCCTGCTTACTGCGCCCTAAAAACCCTTGATTTACTGCACCCTTGCTTAAACATGATGAACGCGATGTAAAACAGAACAGCGATGAACACATGACGAAAAATAATGTCAACCACGTAGAGAAAATTCAAGAAAATGATGAAACATGATTGGAGCGGCGTTCGCCGGGCACCGATGAAAATTGATCCAATGGGACCCACTAATTCCTATTGCCATCAGGTGAAGGCAGCTGAGAGTGTATTGAGCAGAAAGTATATATACCGGCTCAAAAAGAGCCAGTACGAACCAAAACCTGCCATTGCGTGAACAAACCACAACACACAGGACTTAGGAAGCGCTCATGGGAAAAAGGGCGTCCCGTGTCATGACTGATTGGGTAGACAGAAATTGGGCTGCCAAGTGATGCCAATGGTTTTTTTTTGCTGTTTGCTGGATGTCGCTTAGTCCTATGTCACCTGCTGGCTGTTGCGACCTGCATGTAGATCTGCATGGGCAACCACATGACCTAGGCCTTGTGGACCTGCTACTTGATTTCTTCTTCCATGTGGAAGCGACTAAAAGTCAGAGTTCAAAACACTTAACTTCAGAGTTTATTGTGGGATGTTTCGGTACAAATGGTCGCCCTTTACTTGGAAGTTTAATGTCTTCCAGTCGTGCGTTTCACATGTCCACATATTATCTTCAGAGGTCAGAGTTGCAGGGATGATCTGGGTTCAGAGCACTTAACTGGATTGCTTCGACCCGCAGTTCAGCGCACGCAAGTGAAAATCCCAAGCCTCTCTACAAGGGGAACGTCTCACTTGCGACTTGGAAAACCGCTCACTTGGGACTCTGTCTTACTTACGTCTCCTATGTCGCACCTGGGGCTCGGAAAATTGCTCACTTGTACTTCAGACCTTCTGCTCACATCACGTGTTGTCAAAGGTGGGGTGGGGTTGGGTGGGGTGTGAAAAAGTCCTTGGCTCTAGACACAGGGACTATATCCTAACGCTAAACTCTTTCTTGCACTTGCACACCGACATGCCACGCTATCAGATCTCCTGACTCTGGCCTGGGGTGGGGTGGGGAAGAAGCTGATGATGCCAAAATTAAAATAATGCCGATGATGACGATGACGATGATGGTGATGCTGATGCCGATGCTGATGCTGATGCTGATGATGATGATGATGATGATGATGCTGATGCTGATGCTGATGATGGTGATGATGATGATGATGATGATGATGGTGATGGTGATGGTGATGGTTGTTTTTTATGCTGAAGATGAAGATGATGATAATAACAGGATGATGTTGCCAAAAATGGCCATGATGAAAAAAGGTTTTGGTGCTGACAATGAAATATGTCTGCTGTTGCTGCTGCTGGTTATTACTACACTATTATACACTATTATTGTTATTATTTTTGTGTAGCTGATGTACAGTTGGTGGTGATGCTGATGAAGAAACATGTACGTTGTTCTTGGTGGTGATGAAGATCATGATGATCAATGGTGGTGATGATGGCGATCATGATGACCATGGTGGCGCTCATGATGATCACGATGATCATGATGATGATGATGATCATGATGATCATGATGGCAATCATGATGGCAATCATGATGGCAATCATGATGGTCATGATGACCATGATGATGATGATGATCATGATGATCGTAATGACGATGGTGATTATGATGGAGGTTCCACAATAAGCAAAACTACAGAGTTAAGATTTTGAATTGCCACCAGGATCCACCAGGCTACAGCCAAACAACAACTAAACTCCAAAGTACAGTGAAAAACACGCGCTTCAGTGACCATATTTAGTTTAGAGATAACTGAGATAAACTGCAAGAGCAAGCGGGACAAGATATGGAAGAAGGAAAGACACTGAAATGTGAAATTTAAAATATTAATTTTGGAGTTAAGGGTTTTCTCCCGGTCATGTGAATTTCACTTTTCTGCAGAATTTATATATACTTCAAATCGAAAGGTGGAATTAACTTCGGAGTTTATACTTTTTGCATGTTTTTTCAAATTTCAGCGAATTTACTCTGAAGTTGAATGTGTCCATGTGCAGTTTTTGATGGAATCAGTTGCTTTCTTCTTTCGTTTGTTTTTTTTATTTTGCCTCTTGTTTTCCTTGTTCTTCTTGCTTGCTCCCTTCTTGCTCTTGCAGTTTGCTTTCTTCTTCCATATTTTGTTTGCTCTTATGCCATCTCTTGTCCCCTCTTCTCTAACGCGCCCCCCCAGCTGTCGGCTGGGGTCGGCGGATATATGAATATTCTGGGCGCGTATTCCCTGTTTCACAGACATGGACAATCTGCCAGTTGCAGAGCCTGACTGTGACGTATCCTTTACACTTGCCGCAGGGGCAAGTATTGGGGGGGGCATGCCAAAATTGCAACATCGCATGGAGTCCCTCCTTTGTCATTTCAAGCACACAGAGATCTTACGATACGAGGGTGTAGTATGGTATCGTGACTAGTACTGTGTATATAGCAAGAGGACTCTTGCAAGAAATGATCTTTTGGAAACTCTAGCATAGCACGGTTTGTGATCTCTTTGGCCATCCGTTAGCATCACATGAATTCTCCAGGTGGAGTGCTGCGAAGGTTTGGAGATGTGTTTGGGCCACTTTGGCGGTGGCTGGAGCTACAGGTGTTTCGCTTCCTGCAACTCGTTCATTTTTAACATTGTTTAACATTGTTTAACATTGTTTAACATTCAGTGGAATAAAGCGGAAAGTTTCGCAAAAGACCTATGGCAAGCCGTTCAGCGAGGCCTTGAACAATCAAATTACGTGGACAGCAAGATCTCCCTTTTTTCATTTTTTTTCTCATGTAAGCATTTGGGATGGCATCCGTGGATGCTCGGGGCAATTGAAGAAAGAGAAATTGGAAAAGGATAGAAAAGCCGATGCAGCAAAGTCTACTAGCAGCATTAGCTGAGTCATGTTATGTCATGTTATGTCATGTTGATGCTGTCTAGCCTTGGTGATCAACTTCGATATCCCAAGCTATGCGCTCAGCTACGCTTCGCTCTGAGCCATGAAAGCAAGGTACTGGGACGTGCACGCTCCGGGGTGACAACCCTTATGCCTCTGGCACATTCCTTGAATGTTGCCCGGGATTGCAGCCATGCGATGGAGTCTGACTCTCAGAGTGGCACCTATTATAGATTTATATAGATTTATAGCAAAGACCGCAAGAACATGCAAGAACTGCCGTGCAAGGGCATTTCATCCAGATAACAGAGGCTATTCTCATAGCAGATCATAGCAGGTTGTTGTGCGTCCAAACGATACAACAAGCGTTCAACTACATTGCAAAGACTTTGGTTTCTGCATGCTAGAAAGAGTTGCCGGTTGTTTGAGCGCAAGACGACAAAGAATTGCTCGGACCATATTCAATCCCATGCACGGAAAGCCAAGGATTGGAACATGTTGCTTGGATTTGATATGGTTTGGCAACGCTGTGCCGAGAAAACAAACTGTTTCTACAGGTGTTTAGAAAACAACTGTGAGAGATGTGCCGAACATGTCCAGCTGAGGGATGGCTCATGGTCACAAAAGTGCTATAACAAGTGCGACATGGGCGAATATCATCCTTACTTTGACACCACACCTGACTATTTGAACATAGCTGCAGGAGCAGCTGGTGTGAAAGGCACAACCAAGGGTCATTGTTTCTTGATGGGTGTTTTCCTTTCTTACTGTAAATCAATGCAGTCAATAGTTCAATATAAGTCATTTATTAACGTTATCTCTCAAGGCAAATGTCGCATAAAAGCGGCAGCTATTCAGTCTTTGACCGTGTCTTGTGAAAGGTGCCATGGTAGGGTCGGCAACAAAAGGCAACAGGCACCAGTGATACACTGATCCAAGATACTCCAAGGGTCGGAATCAAGATGATTCGTATTCCTAGTATTCTCCACGTCCTTACCCTGCTGTGGAAGCTGCTGGACGTTTTTGAGCTGGCAGGCAACCCAGGCAAGAAGTCAGACAACTACTACCTTGTGATTGGGGATAACGGTGGTTGCGCTGGTGGATGCGACGGATGTGGCGGCTGGCAGCGCCTCAGTTGAACGACTTGAAGACTTGACTGACTTGACCATTTGATTCCCCAGAAAGATAAATATTATCATTGATGGCCTTTTTAGTGCTGTTGATTTTATTGTGGCTCTATGGTTCTACATGACTGACAGAGCAGTTGCTTGATGCTGCTTTGGTGGTCACGTTCTTAATTTAAGGGCCGTTCACTTATGCTTCCAAGCTGTCCTTGTCCCCTGGGTGGAGCCACAAAGGAAGCAAGTTGCAGCCAAGATGAAATCCTACGTGACGGATCGGAAAACTCGGAACCCAAATTCCAAGCTCCTGTTCATCATTCTGGTGGGAGACAACTTCTACTGGAACGGCGTGTCAGACAACCGTTTTGAACTGACATGGAAAGATATTTATGAAGAGCTCGCCACAGACTACCCATGGTTCGTCATTTTGGGAAATCATGATTTTGGAAATGCAGATCCTGCTTGCTTGTGCCCTTTCTTCCATTCACGCATGACATGCTCTGGCATTGGTAGTGGATGCGGTGGCGCAGCTCCATTTTCCAATAAATCTCAGACATATGCTTGCAATCAGCTCAACGTCGACAAGGGCGGTATTGGTGGCAACACCAGAACAAACTTCCACATCCCAGACTTCATGTTTTTCTACACAATACCAGACTTGGATTTTGAAATGATCGGCATGGACTACAACTACTATGATTTCGATGGCTTGGGAGGCAACGGCTACCGCCAAGGAGGAGGTGCCCGTGATGTAGCCAAAGCGTGTGGAGGAACGGAGCGAGTGCACGATAGTCTGGCCAGACTCAGAGATGCTTCCAATAAGATTTTGAAAATTCGCGCAGATGCCGCGGTTTCGACCAATGTGGCGATCTTCGGCCACTACCCTGATTGGGCTCAAGACGGTATCAACCTGCGAAAAAAGTTTTTGGACGAAGTTTCCAATCAACAAAGACCAGGCAAGCGTGTCTTGAACTTTTATGGCCACACCCACATCCAGCAGTGTGAGCTGTCCTCAGTTTTACCTCTTAAATGTTTGTGCACCAGCTGCCTGTTGCTCTTTGCAACATGTTTGTTTCAGTTGAGCATGAAATCGGCTCGCTCAGGACAGACATGCAGAAGAGGGCTACGATGGCTGCACTGACTTTTTAACTGGTGGAGCTGGTGGCTACTTGAAGTTCGTTGAGCCGTTGAGTTGTATCTATTTTGTACTGGTTTGTCGGTTGTCTACTACTGTAATGTCTACAAATTGTTGTATATCATTTTGAAATCGCAAGAGGTGATAGAATTTTCGTCGCCCGCATGCATCATATTATTATTATTATTACTATTGTTATTACTATTATTATTATTACTATTATTATTATATATTATTATTATTGTTATTATTATTATTATTGTTATTATTATTACTATCATAAGCGTACTTGCTGGCTAAGAGTCTCAGCGATACTTGGGAGGATTTGGCAGCACATGCACAGTTGTAGAGAAAAACACAACAAGCCAAGAAGTAAGGCTGCTGCGGAGACACTCCCGCAGGGTTCACTGCCATTACCTTTGGAGATGATGGAAAGCAGATCACAGAGTGCAACTTGGTTTGTTACAAGGTCAAGCTGACACAGACAAGGACTCAAATCGACCACGGAGATCCCCCTTGTCTAATAGAATCACAATAATCATAAGGGCCAGATCCGTGATAAATGACTCAAAAATAACTGTACTTTTGATGTTTTTTTCCGGAAGAATGAGGTCAGATGATTGCCGTACCAGGGGGATTTTGGTTGAAACTTTGGTGTCAGTTGTATGGTAAACACAATCAAACACAGATGCACCCTCAGAATCCTTTAATTTTACCTCCAGCGAAAAGGTTTTCTTTGAGCTGGTGTTTCCGGCCCGAAATCGGCCCTGAATAGTCCCGAAATACCCCAACATATGGCCCTAACATCCCCCGACATAGGCTGAACATCCTGCAAAGTGGCTCAACCTGCACCACTCCAAGCCGAATTCTTTCGCACTAAACTTCATAATTTTTAGCGCAAAAAAATAGTTCAAGAAAAGCTGAAACAATCTTAAACATAGCCTCCAAATGGTCCAATATAGGCCAACATAGGCACAACATAGGCACAACATAGGCCCAACATAGCCCCAACATCCCTCAAATTGCTGCAACATAGGCCCGGTGCTGGCCCAAAAACAATTTCAACCGAAACAAGTTCGGTTGAAATGCTTTTTCCGCCACCAAATTGGCCCTGCCCTGCCACCCAGGCCTGGTTTTATTACAACACTAGGTGCCTTCCCAATACCAGAGTCCTTCAACTCCGAGCGCAAGACCCCACTCCAAACTCCGGATCCGTCACTCACTTTTCCAAAATTTGCGTCTAAAGACATTGTTCATGCTCATGCATTGCAACGAAATATGGATGAGATTGAAATCAGTAGGGTTTTCCCCAATCCAGAGTCCGCAAGGGATCGCAAGGGCGTGATTGAACTGAAATCAGGGTTTGCAAGCTTGCGCACGCTGGAGGCTTTGTGGACGAACCTTGCACGATTGCGCACTGGCCAACATTGGTTCAGGCCAATGTCTCTGTGGAATCCCATCAATTCCATCAGGCTCAGGATGACGTTGCTTGGCCTTGGATGTTTGTTTCACTTCCTTGACGCTGTTTACCTTGGGGTTACGAACACCCTTGAAGCGCTTGAAGTTGGGGTTGGGAGATCCCATTGCCATCCATTGCCAATAATGGGAATGCAATGGAGCGGGCTCTCCAAACCAAGATGCATGCACTGCACTGACGTGTTGTCAAATTTTCTACGGAGTCTTTGCACTGCAAGAGTACGAAAGGGAAACGAAGTTGCCCGCAGGCCACGCTGAAGGTCCAAAAGTTGGTTCACATGATAAGGAAAAGCTGTGTGACAATTGCGTCCGTGAAAAGATCGCGCAAATACTATGAAAACAAGGTGAAATGACCCTGAACAACTGGCTAAGACCAATTTATATAATACGTGGGCACCTATAGATGCCAAGTTGTTTGGTTTGAACTTGCTCCGTACTTGAGCGAATCGAGAACATATTTAGCGCATTCACTGACTCAAATTCTGTTTTGAAAGGATGCCTGAGCGGAATTGACAGGGTAGTTCCTTCCAACGTTGCGGAGATACGGTGAATGATAGAATAAATACATGGAAATACGAGGTTAGGTATTCCAGCTTTGGGATGTGGTTCAGTAAAGACATGGTGTTGTGCCAACGCAACCGTTAAACCATGTCATTGGAAGTGTTGGGTCGTTTTATTATGTATTGTTATAATCGATTTAGCAGAGCTCGCTTGGCGTCATCAACACAAACAAGAAACGGCATGTAGATGCGCAGATACCTTTGGGTACTGACAGGGAAACGGAGATATCAACCCAGACACAAGCAAGGCAATAGAGAAGATCCGATGTATAAGAATGTGTAAGAATATGGGAGGGAAGAACCAAAATATACTGCGATATGCGATAGCTCATTCCAAAGAATGCTGGAGTTGGTTTTGCATGTTTCTGCCTACATCTGTAGAATTTTGTAGCTTCTGCAGCTGGTGATTAACCAAGGTTTGTCCCCACACTGTGGACGATCCACGTTGTCCTGCCTACAAGGGGCCCATCAAGTTGTGAGATGTTGTGAGAGGAGAATTCCGAAAATCTCGTGCTTCTTGAATCTTCTGCCAAGCAGAGCCAGAGCTCCCCACTTGACAACCAATTCCTAAGCGTACGGGTGGATTCGTGGGCAGCTTAGTCACGTGATGTCACGTGAGTCATGTCAGTCACGTCTTAGTCTCAGGGTAAGGAGCTGGCCTTCTCGGCTTCGCTGCACAAAGCGACGAAAAGAATTCTTGTTGGCTTGGTGGAGGGTTTGGTGGTGCATGATTTTCACGGTGGAATAGGGGGTTACCGTGAACAGACGCAAACAAGGGGTATATTATCTAACAAGAGAGTAAGGTTTCTTCAGAGATTTCATGACGATGATACTGATCAGGTGCTCACGATTTTGCCACACCGGACCTCCTCTTCGAGCATATCAAGAGGTGCCAATGCGTTGCAAGGCTTTTGGCACCTTTTACTTCTACTCTGGGACGAGATAACTTTATTTACTTTGGCATGGCTGGTCAAGTCCAGTCTGACGTTTGACATCTGGACCATTTCCGACAACCGAAGATATTAGGGAGATGTTAGACGTATTAAATGGTATTTAGGTATCCTCAAAAATCCTGGACATTCCTGGAGCATGTTTCCTTACCGGGTCTTTATATTTTCTGTCAGGGTAAGGTGCTCTTCTCCCAGACTCGTGAGCTGGCAACTACCGGACCCCAGAGTCTCCTGCCCAATACCAGACCCAAAGACTCCAGAGCCCAACCTTCAAACTCCAGACATCTCCAGACATCTCCAAAGTCCAACTCCCAGATGCCAAACCCGAAAGTCCAAACTCCATTCTCCAAGCACGGTCCCACATCGCACTTGAAGAATGTGTAGATACGGTACTGGTATGTTTGGATCACTCGAAGATACTCGAAGAGAGAAGTCGAAGTATAGAAGTCCAGAGTCATTCCCACCCACCCGTCAGCTTGGGTCTCCAGGTTTTATTCCCCAGTATTCCCCAGACTCCCTTCTCTTCCTCTCTTCCACTCGTAAAGTGACTAAAGTGCCACGTGTACCACACTCACACACACACACCCCACCAGACCTTCTCCTCGTAAACTAGGTGTTGGTTCCGGACCATCAGCTGGCCAAACCAGGACCACTCTTTTCGACTCCAACTTTCACACAATGTACTCCAGACTCAAGACTCCAAGACAAGACCTCAACCTTCAAACTCCTCCAGACCCCAAACTCCAGAGCCCCAAGCAATATTCCATAAGGATCCATAAAGTCTGTCTAAATATGTCTAAATAACTTTTGCGAAGGCGAGGACGGCGTGCGGGCTGTGGTTATTGCGAATTGTGGCCAGGGTGGACAACGACCCCAAGCTCATGGAGTTGGAGCCTTTGACTTTTTGAAAGGCCTGTTGTGAGCGGTGAATTTCAAGCTTTTGGGGTAGACATTCATTGAAGAAACTCGCACTCACAAGAAAGTGCATCATCTCTTTGAAAAGGGTGCAAGATTCCATCAGAAATCAAAACCTCATTTCAAATTTCAAGATGGAGTTATTGTGCGTATATATTGGTCCTTTAATCAAAAAAGTATGGTATTCCTTGAAGAATGTTTGTAAAGTCTTGTTTTTCTTCAAAAAAAATCACCTCCTTGAATCTCCTTGAGGGAGATGCAGTATTCTCTTAAGAAAATGAACCTGCATTCCAAAATGGAATCCTTTTACATACGCAGCACTCTTTCTGAAATAATCAAAGGAGGTTTAGAAGTCAAACTTCCGACAATGTGAATAGATGGAAAAGCAGAGGTGGGAAGAGTCAGAGAAGAGAAGAGAAGAAAAGAGAAGAAGAAAGAAGATCAGAGAAGAGAAAGAGTCAGAGGAAAGAAGATGCAGGTGCGCGAAGAGGTAGAAAAGTCGCGAAACACGGTGTTTTTCAAATGATTTGTGACTTCTTGACTTCGTGGGGTGACGTTTTTTTCCGCGTTGTGCCCTGCGGTGGGGTGACTTCATGTTAAAAAAAGGGGTGCGAAAGGTCCAACGCTCGTAGTATGTTGTCGTATAGGAAAGTTGCCATGTGTACGCAACATATTCATCTTTACAGGATTTTCAAGGAATATTGCGTTGATGCACTGGAAAGAAAACACTTTTTGACATGAATTATGCATATTAGAAAGGTGGCTGTAAATTGAAAAACACGCTGCATATGGCACAGGAAGGGATACCGTATCATTTGTAACAAGATTGCGTTTTTTCAAAAGGAATGCTGCATCTCTTGGAGGGTTCCTCGATAGTTTTTCAGGGTATTGTCTGTTGAAAAAATATTGTACTTTTGTCAAAAGAAAATTGCAAATGAATGAAACATGTTTCTTTACGAGCAGGGGATACTTCATTGTTGCATTTAATATTACATTTTAGAACAGGAACGCACTATTATGTCAAACTCATGCTACATTTTATGGAAAAATGGTTCCCCTTCAAGGGAAGGCTGTACTTTTTTTAGGGACACCCTGCATCTTTTGGACAAAAACGTAATATTTTGCAACGGATCGTGGAAGGGTTCCTGCAACTATCTTAATGATATTAAGGTGCAAATGTATTTCAATACTCTTATTCCTGAATTGTGTGTACTTACATTTTGATCCTTTGCCGTATGACTCTGATGTATCTATTTAATTGCATTCAATAAGAACAACATAATTCACAAGTTGATTTGTAACCAAGAAATATAATACAAAATATGATTTTGTATGGAATTGCATGGAACTAGATTGTATCCAAGAACTTTTGAATCAAAAACCTCACTTTATGGATGTTTGGCAATTTTTAGTACATCGTTGAGTGAAAAGTATGTGCTTAAAAGTGCAATCTATTCATATTTGGATTGATGTTTTTTGGGATTTGCATGGATTTGCCAAAAAAAGATAGTTATCTCAATTTTTTTGCCACTCACAACAGACCCCTCCCTTGATTTTAACACCTGTCCACTGTCCAATGAGATATTACTGTACAAGTAGTCTTTGTTGATTCAAAGCTCTGCAAACTTTCTTAAACTTACATGCTGAGATGCGTTTGAGGTCATGACAGTTATAGCCTGATTTCTTGATGTTTGATTGATTTCTTTAATGGTGGTTTATCTCGGTGGGTCTCAAGATCATTTGCGGTTGGGTTGGAAAGAGACAGTCCAGTTTTGTTCAGACCATTTGTGGTTTCCAAGGTCTTATTTGCGTCAACCCATCCTTGCAGACCACTGGTACGAGCGTCTCAAGGAGAGCTGACCGTTGAGAGATTCAGTTTGATTGTTGAAAAGAATCTTTAAAGAATCTTTAAAGAATCTTAAAGACATTTGGAGATATTTGGAGATATTTGGAGATTTGGAGACAATGTCAACATGTCAATGTCTTTGTGCTGCCTAGCTGCAACTACGGCCGGGCCTGATAGGATTGGTCTGCATTTTGTATCACTGGCCACGTTTATTCTGCCTGATCCCAACAAGATCAACAAGCGACATGTTTCAATGATGAAAAAAACTTGTGTCATGAACTGATATGAAATGTCCATCAAAAAGGCTTTGTTTCATTTGTTATGTTTAGTGAAGTGTTCTTGCGATTTTGTTTACTGACGCATGGCAGTCAATATTTTGCAGATGTGTCAGGCACTGGCTTTCAGGAGTTGCTCTTCTCCACAGTGCGGGTCTAATTGCAGCCATCACAAAAGGTCACACGTCAACAGATTTTGCATCATGCTACACGTCTTTTACATGATTATGTTACATGATTTAGTGCATGGCATTTTGGCTTGATTCTTCATTTCAAGTCGCTTCAAGTCACTCAGATGTTCAGGCCAGCAGCTGTGGCACTGCCTTTGCAGACTCAAAAAGCTTGGGCCACTGCTTGTTTCACCAAGACGATTCAAGACCATTCAAGATCATTCAAGACATTCACAGTTATGATGCGGCTGGAATTTCTCCTATTTGCATCTTGGCTCTTGCAGAAACTAGTCAACCTGCACTACAGGGTTGCAAACAGCTTATCCAAATAACCAATGAGTAACATCACATAGTGAATCTATCACATAGCCTGCAAGCCACACGTGAACAACGGAGCTGCTTTCACCCTCCAATTTGATGATCTAAGTGCACTTTCGTACAGTGGTCCACCAAAACAGAAGCCAAACTTGCTCTGTTGCACCCTGACTTTGTGGAACGAAATGCAGACCCAAACGTAGCTCACGCATGGTGAGTGTCGGGATTGTCGCTTGGAAGCAACAAGTCTGTTTGTGGATTCTGCCTCAGAGGCCTAAGATAAACTCGATTCAATTATGTCAAGTACTTCAACCTGCTTGGATGTATACAAATTTGTAAGTCACTGGCACCTTGCCGGCGATGCTGGACTTAAAGCAATTAAGCGCAAGCCAAGAGTAATCCTTCCTCTTCCTCCGCCCTTACGTATGTAATCCTCAATTTCTGACCCATATCCTGAAGCCCAGGATTGCGTTTGGCCCCTGAGCGATTCCATCGCCTAAGCCTTAATTTCTACCGCCTGCGCATTGTGCAAGCCTAGACTCAGCTGTATTGAGAGCCAGGAGTCACGATTCTATGGTGTTTTGCAAGTCTGTGAGACTTTGTGCATGCATGGAACTGTTGCATTAAACTACGATTTCAAGACGAAACACTGCGTGTTTTCGACGGATCGTGCGTTGGTGGGGGGCGGGGCGAAAAGTAGGCTCGGTTGCGCGACCGCGGCGGCGCCCATGTCAGACCTTGGGCTACCATGCTGGTAGATCACGTGGCAGGATTTATTGCAGACAGGCCGCCATCCTGAAGACATTATTGGGTAGGTGACAAGCTGGACAGCTCATGTCAGACCTTGGGCCACCATGCTGGGAGATCAAGTGGCAGAATTTTTTGCAGGCTGTACGCCACCATCGTGAAGACGGCGCTTAGTAAAGGGCAACCTTGCCGCCACCATGCTGGAGCAAGCTGGTAGACAGGCTAGGTGCGACAAGACAGCGCGGCGCAGAGTGCCTTCGCTTTCAAGGGGGCGCCGCGTACCTTTCCTTGGGCCCCTTGGGCATGACACTGGCGTGGGCAAGGAGGTGGCGCTGCAGCTGCTGCTGGCATTGCCGGCATCGCAACCCGATAGGGCGCTGCCGCTGGTGGTAGCAAGCGCCTACGCTGGCGCGTGGACGCTTCTGCCACAAGGCACGCCCCATCCCGCGCCAATCTTTGTGGCACCCTCAACCCCTCCCTCCGAGCTAGCACTTTGCTCCCCCTCGCCTTCTAAAACATCAGCACCTTGCTGCGTCTTCTGTGTTCTCCTTTGCCCTTAGCTTAGCCGTACTAATAATTACGCGATGACGCGCCCAAAACTCGCCGAAAAGTTCTTAATAAATTCTTGACTGCGCACATTCTGACTCAGCGATTTTGGGGTTGTCACGCGCCGCACTTTAAAAGACATTAGTTGTTATCCCTTTATTTTGAACTTGTCCCATGCATGATCATGAACTCAATTTTACATTTTGTGTCTACTGTCCGTTTTCTTTTTCTGTCGCAGATGTCGCAGCATCCTGAGGCGGAATCTTGACATGGGGAAAAGGCCCATGATTTGCCAAGCAATTGCGATCAATGTCATGGGTTGGGATGGTAGGCTGTGTGTTGTAGACTGGGACGGCGGTGCTGCACTTGATGCTGCGGTTTAAAACCGGATATTGAAATTGGGCAGTCCCACCGCGCCATTGGCTGGCAGGGGGCAAAGCAAATCTGATTCCCTCAAGGCGGGGCCAGTCAAAACCATAGCCCGTTTCTTGCAACCAATTGGCACCAAGGGAAAACATGTCAAAAAGTTGTTGGAATGCTGTTTGGTTTTCATCTTGTGTCAGTTTGACACCACGTTTATGGTTGAGGAATCAGACCGCAAAAGAAAGAAAAGAGATGAGGCTACTCCACAGAAGGCCCAAAGCGGTGCCAAGTGAAATTTGTTTCCAACAGGGTGTGATGTTCCGGATTTGTTGCGGTCAAAGTGAGGCATCATTATCTTCAAAGAAGGCGAAAGAGGAGCATTGAGAATTGGGCGCAGAAATGCCTTGTGCCTTTCTTTTCGTTGAGCATTTGTGTGTGCGTGAACAGTGCTCAACACACCTTGTCGGTTGACTGCAATTTGTGGACGTGTTACCAGGTTTTTGGGATTTTTGGGGTATATGTGAGTTTTTGAATCATGTAAAATTCAAGGTGGAAAATGGTGGAAATCCCGTATAAAGGAATGACGTGATGGTTTCGGGAGGTTTTGGGCATGGTTGCAGGTAGCTCAAGTTGTTGTTGCATCTTCAAGAAACCATTTGTTTTTTCCAATACGGGTGCTCAGATGGGTATGCAACCATTGCTCCTGACTGCTGTTCGTGAGCTTGAAGGAGTCGAACGCCAAAAAGCCTGACCAAATAAACAAGAGCAAAGGGGATCTGCAGAATCTGAAAAAACAAGAAGAGAAAAAGGAAACCAAAGAGCCGATTAACCCCAAATCTGAAGATGCCAAAGATGAGGACAACGAAGAGGACCGTTTCAGGGGCGTGAGTGTCCTTGCATTGATGTCTTGATCTGTGCAGAGAGATTGATGTGGAATGATGTTACATATGATGATGTTATATGTAATGTGTTTATAGTTTGCTAAAGCGATATAATTATGGTGTTTGTTGTGTTTGGATATGTAGTTTAGACAATCTGGTTAGATGATTTGATTCTAGATGTGTTCAGGTGCAAACCATTGGTTTCACAGACAATTTTGCGGAGGAAAGTCGACAGTTGGATGCTCTCCTTGGCGATGCTGCCGCCTGAGTTGACGTCGACAATTCTGTGCCATCTCGTTTTGACATGGTGTTGCATCTCATGGAATGGTGACCATAGATTTTTGGCATCTCATTGCATCACGAGAAATCATGAGACATCATGAGTTCTTGCCGTCCTTGGTTTTTGATACAAGTTTGTCAGCGATGCATTGGTGCTATACCTGGTTTTGAAGAAGGTGAATGTGTTCAGTCTCCACGGCACTTTTCACACCTGAGGCACCTGATGTTTCTGCTGAGAAAGGTTCGGACACAGAAATTATGCACAGTTCAGTTTCAATTGGAATTAGAAGATTCAATCTGAAGTTCAATCACAGACCAAAAGCGACTGGACTGGATCAGCAATACGTGTTTCTTTTGTCTGCTCTATTTTATCCCGTGTTCTTTTCTTTTCTCAGGTTTTAAGCGCAAGCAAAGAGAAGAGGCGCATCGCATACCACCGCATGCCATGAGGAGAAAAATGCTGAGACCAAGCGGCACCTCGCCTTCTGTGCTGATTGAATCCAACTGACGCAGGCCGCATTGCTACAGGTGCCGCCGGTGGAAACAGACACAGAATACGATCAGGCCTGTTCGAATCTGTTCGATCAATGAAACGCGATGAAAGGATTAAAAGAATGCAGGAGATCTTAGGTGTGCGTGTGTGTGCCACAGTGTGTGTGCAATTCTGTTTTCAGTCTTGTTCGCTGCGCAGCCCGACATTTCCACCTTCCCAGAAAAGCTTGTCATAGAGGCGCAAATTCTTTCTGATTGCTTGTCCTTGTTTGCCACGGTTTGAGGTTTTGACAGCATCCATTTGCCTGTCCAGGGGTCTTCCTACGACAAGCTGGATGGCATGTACAGGAGTGTGGGCTGAGTAGCACCTAAATGCGAACAGCTCCACATGGTGTGTGAGGAGCTGCACACACGTACACGAATACCCCCGTCTCTGCGTATAGTAATGTATGAATGTACATTGTGCAGAATAATAAGAATGGCAATGATAATGGTGATAACAGCGACGTTAACAATAATGATTTTAAAAGTGAACACATATTACTGTATTTTTTTAATGATATATGATATACTCGATGACAGTACATACATTGAAACATAGGACAGGTTATGTGCACAATCATGGACAGGATCTGTTTAGCTTATACATTCACATACATTCTATAATATTCTATATGCATCACCCAGAATGACATCAGAACATCGGCAGCCTCTTGCTGCCTCCAGGATCTTGCCCGAGCCAAGCCGGGGGAGGCACAGAAGTAGGAGTATTCTTGGTGATGATCCCTACCGTCATCAGATGATCGGAAACACGAGTTGGGTATGCTGCAGATATGCTGAAGATATGCTGAAGATATGCTTGTATTTGAATGAAATACCGCAAGTTCAGCCGTGAAGGCCCGCCTACTGCAAGGTAGGCAGCAGCAAGAACCTGTCCGCACCAGATCAGTTTGTGTGTGTGTGCGTGTTCTTGGTTTCATTGCTTGGGAGATATGTGCACTGTTCCACAAGTATTTGCAAGATTTTGATCAAGCAAAAGCTCCAAGCCAAAGTGTTTGCTCAAGTTGTGCAAGGTACCTGTACTGGTATTCTGGAAAACGTTGGCAGATTGGCTTCGAGTTTGGGGCGAAGAAGTGCGTAGCGTGAAGACCTTAGAGCTCTAAAGATTCTAAAGGGCAAAGACTTGGACATTTGAACTTTGCTTATCTCTGCTTCACTACTTCACTACAGCATAACAGCATAGCACAGCTCGGAAGCTCGGTCACCAAGCGGTCGTTGCGACCTCAGGAGCATCCAAGATCGTGGCGCTCTTAAGCCACCTCTTGACCCATATCCGCACACATGGAAGGCGCATTACACAGCCAGTTGCTGAATTCTTGGCATGTTCAGTGCCTTGCATTGCAATTCCAATTCTTCAGATCTGCTTGTTTAGTGTTTTAAAAATTTATTACGACTGGGGATGTCTGATTTGATTCTGAAGCACGTGGTTCTCGTATCATTCTGTCATTCCAGCTGATAGGCAATCGAGAAGAATTCAGCAGATGGTGTCAAGAAAGAAAAACCGGCCTAGCCCCGAGGAAAAGAACCTCAACGGGGCTCAAACCGAAGATATTTGTGTGATTTTTGTGTGTGTGTGTATTGTGTATTGTGTATGTATATAATTGTCTCTCTCTCTATATATATATATATACATATATCATTCTTAAATAATATTTATTTATTTTCACATGCCGCTGACATTGAGGCCAAGGACAAGCTGAAGTGTCTCAGAATGCGGGACCTGGCCTCAGTTGCGGCATACTGGCAACACGCCATTGGTTTTGCTCTTGAGTCGACAGCAATCCTAGTTGACCTCGAATAATTTCAGCGTATTGCATATCAGGTCGTTGAGGAGAGACTCCGGCAAGCTGCGACTGATTTTCTTGAGGAGATGGATTTGGTCTTGGGAAATGCGTGGCAAATACAGCGGGGAATGCATGATTCGCATGATTCCAAGATGAATGTCAGGTGTAGTGTAGTGTGCATTTTGCTTCGTCCAAAGTCCCTTCTGCAGGAAATGAGTCCAGCTGTAGAGTCTGCGCAGAAGAGCAGGTGAGTTCCCAATCACGTAGTGCATTTGTAGATGTTCATAGTGTCAGAGTGGGTTCACAGCGAGTTCCCCCAAAAGTTTACTCCGGTTTAATGAAACTGGCGCTTGACCGATATGGTGATGAGAACTTTGCAGAGCTTGGCCCCAGGTATGAGACTCAGATGACTCCGATGGCTCAGGAGAAAGAGGATAGCCAAGAGTAGGGCGCACAGGTGGTGTGGAGTCTGTATGAGTCTGTATGAGTCTGTGGAGTCTGTGGAGTCTGTGGCGTTGTTGCGACACCTTCCAGCCTTTCTTCAGATGACAGCAGAGACAGGGTGGAGTTGAACGAGTTGAAGTTAAGGCCTGAACAGGAGCCGTCTTCATCGTCACAACCATCAGCGCCCTCCAAACCCGCACAATCAAAGACCAAAACCAAAGCAGTGAAGAGGCTGGTCGGCTGGTCATGGCTGGTCATGGCTGGTCATCTTGTCTTGAAAGCAAATTGAGAGGCAGCATGGATTTTTGAGGGCAAAGGTACAGTTGACACAAGGCTTCTGTATGTTTCTGTCATCTTCTGTTACATAACATGTGTTGGACTATGTTGGACTTATTCAGGATGTTCAGGTGGTGACTGTTCGACCCCGCCAGGCCTTCCCCAAAGAAGCCTGCTGTGTCAAAAGTGCCTAAGAACTTGGTGCCCGCCTCAAACATCGCTAAAATTTGCATAGATTCGCTATGATTCGCTAGGTAATTTGCATAATTTGCAAAAGCATGGTGTGTAGATGTGTGTAGTGAGAACAGCAACAGCCGCGCTCTGGTAAACATGAAACGTGTCGAGCGTGGCCCTTTGTTCGAAGAGAGCGAGGAGAGACCTCCGAGTTGTATCAAGTTGTGCAGGTCGTTGATGAAGAAGCAGCCATCGCACACCTGGCTTTGTTTAGCAGTTTAGCCAAGAAAGAGTCAGAGCTCAGCCAGCAGTGCAATGTCAGATTGCATTAATTGCATCATGTTTAATCATCTTGCATCATGCTTTCATTATGCAAATCAGGCAGAGTTCTGCAACCTCAGAAACAGGAGATGATAGATGTTATCGGAAGTGCCAGGTGATGAAGCATCAACAGAGTGATGGGACCTTACTTGGTAGATGTACATGATGCACTTGTGCGAGAACGTTGCACTGTCATACTGTCGCTACATGAGGATAGATAGATTGGCTTGAGAACTCTTCGGAAAGAATAAACAAGCAACATATAACGAACAAGGGACAACATGAACATGTGATGTCAAGAGGTACCCTTGGGAAGGGTGCGTAAACGAGAGACCTGGCAAGACACAAACCTGGATTGATTTGTCAAAGTCAAAACAACACCTCAGGACAGCGATGACGAGTCCAAGGATTCTTGGCTAGAGTGGGTCTAGTAATAAACCGTTGTAGGATATTTGCATATATTTGCATATATTTGCATATACTTGCATATACTTGCATATACTTGCGTATAGTTACATTGTTTCGCAGGTTTTGTATGGGGCATTGCATGATTGTTGCAGGTTGTTCATTGAGTTCCATCTCCATGGAGCAGATTCTCCGCTGTGTCGTTGACTTGTAGCATGGCACAGGCAACAGGGAAGGCCACATCTTCACAGCACCGCTCTGAGTGGCAGTGGTATTTCGTTTGGATGTTGTATGATGATGTCTTATACATATTATATGTCAATGTGTATATATATATATGTATATATATATATATGTGTGTGTATATATATATATACTATGTATTGTTCTAAATAAATATATATATATATACATATAGATATATACATATATAGATATACATATATATATATGATTAAATTAATTGTCATGGTAGATGTGTATGCTTTCATTGGTCTGAGATGTTGCATGTTGACGCATGTTGGCATTGAGAAAAGCTTGGCACTTCTCTGAAGGCCTTCGGACAGCAACGCAGAAACCTCTGACAGTGAGAGCGACAATGAGTCATAACACCCAGGATCCGCATGGTGGAACTGCTGTTCAAAAGCCCTGTCGTCTATGTGTATGTGACACTACAGGAATACCTCCGCAATTTCCTTGAAAGTTGCAGCCTGTCACTGGCACTTTAAAAAGGTTCTTATCTACTTGCCGTGCCGAAGTGCTAAGTTGTTGCTACCGTATTTGCTCAGAACTCTGTCTATCTTCGTCCAAACATGTCCAAACCAAACATTCCAACTTGGCGCTCAAATTTTGGATTTGGATTCCAGGGTCTTTGAACATCTTGAAACCTGGAGTTTGCAGGTTGGGCATTGGATTCCCCATTGAAGAACATGTCCTCCCGACTCCAGTTCTCCCATCACTTGAGGTCAACCTCATCCGAATCGGTCTCAGAAGAGGCAGAGACTGTCCAGCCGTTCGTCAGCAGTTCCAGTTTCAGTAGAGTTACCTGCGGTTACCTGCTTGATGCGACAGGAACCAGATGCTGATTTCGAGGCCCGAACAAGACCGTGAAAATTCAAAGGCTTTGAAAGTATGTGTGGATATGTATGGTATTTGAAAAGAGGTTGGGTCCTGGAGAAAAAAAGTGTGATTTAGTTGACTTGTCCTCAGTTGAATTTCCGTAACAGGTTGCCAGGTGAAAAGGCTGCGTAATCACAAGTTTTGCATGTCTTGTCACTTTGAAATCCCTGGAGCATCTGGAGCATCCTGCAGGCCATGGGTGAACAAGCTCAAAGCATCGTAAAGAAGCTCAAGAATTTTGAAAAAAATCAGGCATCGCGCTGGACACTTGAGGATCTTGAGGGAGTTGAACCATGTTGAATCCAACACATATGAAAACCTCAGCGTCATGATGTGAGTCTCATAGCGCTGCAATTCGTTGTAGTCATTGGTTCATATTGTTTCGGCTTCGTTGCAGGCGGTCACCAAGTTTAACCAACTGATGCAAGTACAAAGGCACAGATCTTCGGTCACTGTCTGTGACGGTGATGCATGAACTTCAAACAGAGGTGCAAAGTGAGTGCATGACAAGTACGCTTGAAAGGAGTAAATCAAAGAACGGCAGCTTGATTCCGTTTGTTAGTGCCCTAGTCCTGAAATCTGCATGTCCCGAGTATTGCGCACATCACAGATATCCCCGGATGTTCTCACTCGCACTGAGAATGGCTGCAACGTCGCGGACATGAAGCATCTTTTTCAGTGGGCCATGCGGTTGGAAGCTCAGCTATTGCTATTCAAGGGACTTTGGATGGAATATGGAATTTCCACGTCACTCACATCTCTGTGTTTGTGCGTGGCTGTCAACACCAAGCTGTGAGGGGATGTACGCAGCATCACAGGGTGCTCACTACCCCCGCCCCCAACAGCCTTTCAAATACTTGTCATCTTGTGTCGGTATCTCACAGCATGTAATATGACATCAGTGACATGGGGAATATGAAAAACCTAAGCCGGTGCAGACGCAATGTGCACGAGTCCAGGCATCTGGGTGTCGCAAACCCGTTGAACACTTCAGCGCTGCCGCAGTCAAGACCCGAATGGAAGTGTTGTTGCGATTTCTTTTTGAACAAGCTGTGAATGATCGCTTCTTATCGCTTGTTAGTCGCTTCTTCAGATTGTTGACCAATTAACATTATATAGTTATAATTATATAGTCCTTTCAACTTTAAAAAGGATCATCTACCATCATCTACCATCATTATACCCTTACAATGTTTTGTTGAGAGCGGTAAGGGCCCCAGAAGCAACGACGGCAACACCAGTAGCAGCAACAGAAGCAACAATTCCAACAATTCCAACAGATCCAACAGCAAGACATACAGCCTCGGCCGCAGCAGGAGCAATTGCAAAACTAGAAGCGAAAGCAGAAGCTAAGTCACCGGAACAACTACTTTTCTGCTGAATCAAAGTGTTTGCAACGTCCATGTAGCAAGCTGAGACATAGATGATTGCTATTTTCATGCAACCTATATAGGGCTTTGCTTCACTGCATAGGGGCCGACAGGGAAACAAGTTTACGATTACGACATAAAGACCCTGTATTCAGATTCAGATTGTTGCTTTGCTTAAATTGCATCACTGATCTTATTTGACTCAGGCCAGTTAGTTCACTGAGGTGTCCATTTGTCCCAAATTAAATTTGCCTATCCTGTTTTCAAGAGTAATGGCAGTAATTGTGGAACTTTGGAATATATCGCGCAACTTTTTGGCAGATCCCAAAGAAGCCTGCGCATGTTTGCAGATCGAATACTGTATACCAGTTTACAAGGTCAACACATTGCAATTTCCCAAACACCACAGCGGTGTTGACAGCACACTTTGTGAAGACGTGAAGACATCCTAATATGTTGATATATTTTGATATAATTTGACATCAGTTGTGACGGTCTGTTTTTCAGGGGTCTCAGGCCGGCACCAAGAACGCCAGAGCAACCGCAGCCCCGTACTCCTCCTCCAGTTGAAGAGGACACATCACACGACATGTGTGGCTTGCATTCCTGTGAGCTGAACAAGTTGAATTGTTGCTTTGGTCGGGAAATTCTTGATATCAGAGTCACCATGTGTGATTTCGGTTGCCTTGCTTGGTGTGATAACTCTTCCTACATATAATATCATATAATATCATGCAATATACATATAATTACATGTACATATATATATACATACATAACATACATTATGTACATACATACATACATACATAGATACATACATACATAGATACATAGATACATAGATACATAGATAGATACATAGATAGATAGATAGATAGATACATAGATACATACATACATACATATACATATACATACCAAACCATACCAAACCATACCATACCATACCATACATTACATTGCATTACATTACATTACATTACATACAATGAATTTAATGCACTGTTTAATTTCATGGCTGGCTTCAGACCTCCTTTTTCATCATGCTCTATCATATGCAGGAGGCTCCCAGAAGTGATGCAGTAGCACAGCTCCCGTCATGCCTGCATGTTTCAGGGGTCGCTTGAACAGGTTGCGAACTGACTAATCTTCAATGGCTCCTCTGAACCAGGCATCACACGATGGCGGCACCAAAGTCAGTCGGTTTTCCTGAGCGATTTTCTATGGTTTCTCCTGGTTTCTGCCAATTTCTGTCCTATAGAGTTGTGCAATGCTGTGCACCTGGGTGTTCCCAATTGAGGTGCTGAAAAAGCCCGGCCAGCCATCTGGGCCTGTGCGTCGCTTGCTTAATTTGCTTACATATGGTTTGAGCAAATTCCAACAGGATCAGGATGCGGAGCTTGATGGAGCTTGTCTTGTGGAGGTCGCGTGCAGCACGCTCAAGAAGATTTTCAGGCAAAAACATGTGTTGAAGAGCCATAGAATGCCATAGAACATCCCCTGCTTTTGCCTTTTTAGCAGATCAACAGTCCGGTGATTTGAAGAAAGAAATCAGCAGTGCACTGCTCAGTCATTTCACAGAACCGATGGTCCCCAAGTTTGTCTCTGTCAGTTTGCTTCCTTTACACCAGTGAGGGTCCGGTGGGTTTCATGATGAAAGATTTGAGGCAGAGGTGTTCAACTGGTATTCAAGATTGAATCACGCAACATCAAAATTATGCTGTGACCTAGACATCTCCATCCTTCTTCAACGGAGCAAATGGAAACTGTTCTCCAACGGAGTGGAGGTAATGGTAATATCCCACAAGTCGTGCGGCGAGGGTTTGTGGTTTGAACCTCAGTTATGGATCCAGAGATATCCAGAGATTTCCGCAAACAAGGTGAAAGTGACCGTGTCACATGGTGTCACATGGTGTCACTGCTAAGGTTTCAATGCCCTGGATCTTTCGTCAATTGCGACACGTGCGACCGGTCTTCGCCCAAGATGCAATTAAATCTCAAGATGAAGATGATTCCTGCCTTAATATCCCCCTAAACTAAAACCCTCCAGACAATAGACACCTAGAGTTATTTTTAGTATTAGGGCGTATGTCGTTCGTATGTAGTGAAGTGTTTGGGTGAGAAGCTTCCCCCTATTATATAATCAAATCAAAACATTAATGTTTAAAAAAGAAAACTTTTTTTGCATTTAAAAATCGATCAAATCCATTATTGAAATCTAATTAAGATATTGCCAAAAATTGGCGTTCGACGCTTCCCCTAATTCAAATCAAAACCGTGATTTTACGAAAATAAATTCCATTTCAAAATCGATCAAATCTCTGATTAAAATATATTAAAATCGAATTTAAAGAAAGAAAAGAAAAACTGCCAAAAATTGGATGTCGGAGCTTTCCCCTAAGAATCAAATCAAAACCTGATTGAAAAAATGTCATTATTGTCAGGGACCGTGAGAAACCGCCTCCAACCAACTAGTTTGAGTTATTAAGGGGCGAAACCCTTAAATGGGACCTGGTTTTTAGATTGTCTAGTGGGGATCAATTTGAAATCAAACTGACCAACCTGAAAGTTTCCAGAATTGGGAATAAAGGACCCTAGTTTAATTCATGTTAGTCCTAGTTTTTGGTGTTTGGCATATGTTTAGTAGGGGGAAGGGATTACTCACTCGTTGGATCCAGACATATTAGTCAGGCGTGTTCAAACATGTGGGAGTGCACACTGACAATGTCAGTGCTGATTTCGACTGCAAAGAGATGGTGTGTTTATGTTTGGTTGCTTTGACTAGCAGATTCTATTTGAAGAGTCTTCTCCGATGTTTCATCTTTCTTTGTTTAGTCAGGGCGCGTACCATGTTTGGGTTGCTTTTTTGATGCGTTGGTCTTGTCCTTTGTCCATGCTTGCTGCTGTACATCATGCGAGTTGGGTTAGTGAGACTGCTCTTCACGTGGATTGAATTGATTAAATTTGCTTCTATTTGCAATCACGCATGATGCCAATTTTTTCTCTTGGTAGGACGGGTGGGTAGATAACCGTTTGTCAAACGATGGACAGACTCGGCAGAGGAAAGGTGTCTCTTAAACTAGATCTGCACGAAAAGTCAAGCCACGGGAGAAAGGACTTGATAGAACTCGACTAAGTTGCACATTCGAATCAGATTGAATTTGATCAGTAGTTGCAAGCTTCCCCTTTAAACACTAACCTGTATGAAGTCAATCAGTGCAGAAGTAGTTTGAATTGGTCTGATCCAATATTTGTAATGCCGCATTGTTCTTTTTCAGCCCTCTGTAAAAGTCTGATAATGCCTCGGGAGAGAAGCTTGTAAAGGCCTGACAGAGCTTCAAGCTTCCAAGGCCGGTGCCGCAAGCTATGGGCTGTCTACAGGCTCTCGGCCAGCTTGCACAACGTTTACATGACCAAAGAAAGTCGCAGATATTCACATACTTGTGTTCCTTCTCTTGAAAGCCAACACAACAACTGCAAGGGCGCTCCAGCTCGATCACAATTTGCCCAACACTTGCCCCTTGGAGATTTAGTACGGTTTGATGAAACGTGGTGAATGCTTTGTAGAATTTTGTAGATGAAACTCCAAACTTGGCCAAGGTTCCTGTGCCAAGATTGCTCGTCTAGACCGGGCTAGCGAGTCTCATATTGAATCGCCGCGGGTACCGAACATTTGGACCGTTGCCGCGCGTTCATTATGTAAAATAGATCATTTCTCGAGATTAGCTTTTAGTTGCACAGAGCTGCAGCTATGGGGTTTGCTGCAATGAATGGTGACTTCGTGTTTCAGAGATCCACTTCAAATTGCAGGAGCTTTTATGTATTTTTATGTTAGAATTACTATGAATTACTTGTTTTAACTGGCTCCACAATATAGCCAACTGTTGTGCGTGTGATTGTGCTGCATGTATGACAATGTTTGTTGGGAAATATCACACTGTTCATTGGAAACGGGTGTGAGAAGCGCATAATTTATGCTGGCTCACAGCCCTATGCCACGGACAAGGGCAAGACGTGTGTACTTTGTCATCGTGTAGCAGCACGACGTAGAAATCCATACGAGGTGGCCGATACATACACAATCAAAAATGCATTTTCATCAATATAATAAATTTAGATTGATAATTATATATATATATATGATCACCACCCTTTTATAAATGAAATTTCAGAGGGGGGGTATCCCTTGAAATTTCATTTATTGTGTTTCATTTTTTTCCATTGATCAGAGATTTCAATCAGATTTAGCGGGCTGCCCAAAGCCATTTTGGATCATGAGCCGGCCGCGTCAGTGCTGTAGCTGAAGCCTCCCCCTGCCCTGTTGCAGCTCCACCTCGCACCGCCACGGCCTTCCTGAGGCGAGATCATCCCCTGCACATGCGCAGGATTGGATGCCATTGGATGAAGTGGATGAAAAGATGGATGGAAAAATGGATAAACTCCTTATCACCATCTTGCTGATACACAAAATGAAATGCATCAATGACCCAAGAGCAGTGGCAACATAGGGGGTATTTAAGTTGCATGACACATCTGCGAAATGTCTGGATTTGATATGATATTTATGATATTTATAAAGGCTTTATATGGATTGTTAAGGGGATTTGATATGGGATTCTAGGGATTTAGTGAGTCATTAAATCTCTATTGTCAAACCCAGCCCATTTCCTTATGGAGGTTTCCTAAAATACAGTATCCCCAAATCATCCCATTTATAGATGGATTTCCCATGACATAAACCATCCAGCTATGGGGGTACCCATGACTTAGGAAACCTCCCATATATGTTTTGGTTTTGATCCATCCCAGAAAGGGTTAACCAATGACGGATTTTGCATCACCTTTGGCGTTCACCGGCGTCCACTTGAGCTCACTTTTTCATGGCTAGTTGGCCCCTTGGTAGCCTCTGGGATTGAATGACTCATCTATGGCTCTGCCAGCTGTCGTGGTGCTTCAGTTCATCCATGTCCGTTGTTTCATCAAAAAACACACAAATTCCCTGGGTCTTGCCGAAAGCTCCACTCCAAAATTATCCAAACATCTCCATCAGTTGGAAGCCTTTTGGCAAATTTCGTTGGAACAACTGGGGCTGTCTGAAAATTGAAGGGAACGTCCCCAACTTTGATGGGTTGAGCATCAGTTTCCCTATGGGTTGAGTGGCCAAACATTGGGGCATTTTCCCCAAGTCATTTCATCCCTGGCGCGTCAGGCAGTAGTGCCGAAGCCGTTGAATTAGCCCCTGTGGAAGAGAATTGACATCTCCGATGTGGGCCCTCCAGAGGAGGCTGATGGTTGGGATATGTTGGGATTTTCTCATGTCATGGGGTTATAGAAACATACTGAAGGAATCGGAAATATATTGAAAGACAAAGTATGCATAGACCGTCTCAAAGCTGTTGTTCCTTTTTGTGTCGTATCATGTACACACCAATTCAGCTTTTGCCAGCGGAATGTCGCAGCTCACACTCCGCCAAGTCGCAGGCATCCTCGAGTTCAAAGAGACTGGAGTACAAATATGTCATTCGGCGCCCTCCTGGTGTCAAGCCTCCCACCCGCACTGGTTGGACTGTGTCAGGGACAAGCGCAGACATTTGGGCGAATCTTTGGGCATCCAGTTTGGAGCCCCTTTTTGAAGTTTCTCAGGGCCATTTGGGGCAGGTGAAATCCAAAACACGCATGGTTTGTGCTGCTTTCCAGGTTTCAAGCTGTGTGCATTTCCGCGGTAGATTCTTATCACGGCCAAGCCGCCGGAGGAGGGGCCTGAGATTCTGGAGCATAGTCAGGCCGCAGCAGCACCAGAAGGGCAGCCCCGCGGCTGGTGCATTGCAGTGGTTGGAAACCTCTGTGAGTTTTGTGAAAATCTGGGGAAACCACGGGAAAACCAGAACATCCCATGGTTATTCCATGGTTTGGAAAGCAACTTCCTCACTAAAATGGCGAATGGAGAGTAAATCCACGAGTGTTTTTTTACAAAGAAACACCATGCAGAAACCATAATTCAGTAGTCTTTGTATAGGGGATTGGAAATGTATTAGGAACAGTGACTACTAGACTGAATCTCGAGATAACTTCAAGTTCAATTTTTATATTCTTTGATATTCTTTTATAATTTTGATTTCGGTTCCGGATTCGGGCGCCACGTTCGGGCCCCGGATTCGAGCCCCGGATTCGGGCCCCGGATCCGGGTTTCGGATTCGGGCCCCGCATTCGGGTCCCGGATTCGGGTTCCCATCCCGGGTTCGGGTCCCGGATTCAAGCCCCGGTGTGTGAGGAAGGTGGTTCATTTACTGAATGAATTCAGTAGGGAAGTTTGGTAGGCAGATGTAGGCAGGTAGGTAGGACCTAGGGGCGCAAGGAATGGCAGGAGATGGTATCAATGCATCAATTGGTATTGCAATGTATTGCAAACATGTAGCCGTGGGAAAATGAGGATGTCTTTCATTACAAACGTTTGATCCTTTCCTTTCTCTTCGATGGGGGTCCGCAGCATGATATTATATTTGCGGCAAAGTCGAGTAGGTGATTCTATCATCGGTTCTTAACCTATTTTCCTCCGCCACAGTCAAATTGAATATGCCGTGGCCATGGGGATTTAGTAAATTTAGTAAATGCAATGCTTACGTTCACTACGTAATTGAACACATAGGAACAGATGCAAACAAACAATATTTCCCGAGTCTTTGTTAAATATGTTAACGCGGGATTTATTGTGTGGCCACAGGGATTTAGTAGGTGCCAAGCTCAGAAGCGTTATTTTGTCAGCAGTTGAAAGCATAGGAACGCATGGAAGGAAACACTGTTTTCCAGGCGCACAGCATCACCGGAACCTTACTTTACGCCGCACCAGAGGCAGAAGAGTGTGCTGTACCACTGTACCAGACATTGGCCAATCATTTTGAGGTCGAATCTATCCTAATCAATAGCTTCGTTTTCACGCTTGCAGGTAAATAGATAGATAGATAGACAACTACAACTACAACTACAACTGCCACTACACTACAACTACAACTACCACTACAACTACCACTACAACTACATCACACTACACTACGCTAACTGCAGTACACCACATTACAGCTACAACATAGTGACCCCCTCGGCCACTGAAATTTTAGGGGAGGGTATGTGAAAGAATTTCTGAAATATATTTCGCTTGCACGTCTGGAGCAGTTTGGCTCACAAATGCATGTATGGCATCGCAGGTATGATGAAATCCGTGCTGTGAAACAGATTTGGGCATATCGGCATATCATTCCCATATTGGGGAACCAACAAGTCATTTTCAACAGAGCAAATGATTGAAAATCATCATATAATATAAAACATATAATATAAACAATCCACCTGGGGGGTTCCGAATTTTGAGACATAGACATCCGGCTTATGACTCTCGGATGCCGAATCCACTGCTGTCGAGTGCGACAAGAGATTTCAAGCCCAGCTCCATGAGTCTTGGCGAAGGTGCCACGCGTCCTGTAGCTCCACGTTCTACCATCCAGAACTTGGGGGTTGATAATACCTTATTCAGGGCCATTTAACGCCAGGTTTAACTTCATCCGAGTTCGTGTTTGTTCATTTATGCTCATCATTGTTCATCGATTGCCGCTTCCTTTTCCAATTGCACGGCTTGGAGGGTTGTGGGAACAGGCAACCAGATTTGGCACGATTTGGCAATTTTTGTAGTTTTTCGCGTTTAAAACTTGTGAATTTGTTGAGCCGTCTTGGGGACCGTTTTCTGCGGATTGCATGGTGTGATATGGTATGCACATGTGTGATATTGTATGATATTGTATGATACAACCTCTCCTGCACCTCTCCTGCACCTCTCCTGACCTCTCCTGCACCCCTCCTGCACCTCTCCTGACCCCTGCTGCGCCTCTCTTCCCTGCACCTCACCAGCAGAAGTTAGAAGGCTTTCCGGAAGACACTTCAAACCATTTCAAAACAAATGCGAAGCTATGCAAAGCTTTTTTGTGCTTTTATATAGAGCTATCAGATGTGATTACATGTTGGGCTTGCATGGCACCTCTCCTGACCTCTCCTGCACCTCTCCTGCACCTCTCCTGACCTCTCCAGCACCCCTCCTGCACCTCTCCTGACCCCTGCTGCGCCTCTCTTCCCTGCACCTCTCCAGCAGAAGTTAGAAGGCTTTCCGAAAGACACTTCAAACCATTTCAAAACAAATGCGAAGCTATGCAAAGCTTTTTTGTGCTTTTATATAGAGCTATCAGATGTGATTACGTGTTGGGCTTGCCTCATGCACCCCTCCTGCACCTCTCCTTTGACACCAAATCATTCTGTGGGAAGACTATGGAATACTAGGGAATAGTGAGTTCATCATAGTTCATCCATATGGCGTATATGCAGGAAGTTTGCAACTTTCATAGGGCGTCAATCATTTCACCAGCCGGGACTAAAAGAGATTTGATATGATTTGATGATATTATATTGTTTATAAGTGTATTTAATTGTTGTTAGACTGTCCAGCGACATTATGTCACTCAAGCTTTCTGAAGTTCGTGCATCATGAAACGGTGTTGAGATTGATAGCTTTTAAATGCTTTATCGCCATAGAAGCCAGAACTTTTGCAAATTGCATTTAATTCAGAAGATTGAGTTGATTTTGAAACATCAGATGATGTTGAGGCTGAGAAAGAGGTGGTCCTAGCTTCCTTTGCTTGTGGGGAGATGGACGTTGACATCGAGTCCGGGAGACCGTCTCGGAGCTGGGCAACTATCAAGCGAGTCTTATGGGCGCGGGAAGAGCATCGGGCTGCAGACAAGAAGAAGAA